GGTCAGAGCAAAAGAGGAGCGAGCGGCGAGGCGGCTTTGCGCGGGCAACCTGCTGAAGATGAGGTGTCTGTCAAAGCATCCTCCGTCGGCTCCGCCATATTTGGGGTAGATGACCCTCCTCAGGTGCCGGGACGTGAAGTTGAGCGGTGCCTGTCGTCTCTGTTTGGGCTCGGGGCACTGATGGGGGGTGAAGAGAGAAAAGGGCGGGCAGGTGGCGACGGGGTTTTTACAGCGCGCGTGCTGTTCCCGCAGGTACTCGGTGATGATGCCGTCCAACGCGGGGGGGGAGGGCATGTGCCTGTCAAACTGCTTCTTCATGGCCGGCGTCTGGCTGAAGGCGCCGTGGTCCGACTTCTGCCGCAGCACCCGAGGCTTCTTGCAGCCGGCGCCGCCGCCGCCCCACGTGTGCCGCTCGCGAGAGAAAACGATTCGGCCGATCAGAGGGGAGCCGTTGCTGCAGTGGGGCGCCGACGCCGAGGAATACGCGGCGGTGGGTTGCACCACGGAGGGGCGCACTTGCAAGTGGCACGGCGACGCGGCGGACGAGTGCGAGGGATGGTTGCCCAGTCTGGAGCCGACGCCGTTGGCCAGCCGCGGGGTGCGGGGGAGGGTGGCGATCGGCGGCGTGAGGGGAGCGGCGCAGGCGAAAGGCGAAGCGGCGAGCGACGAATGAGACGGGCACGTCATCGGCAGATCGGCTTCCTTGGTGAGGGCGCTGGCCGTGTCCTGAAGGCCTTTGGAGACCAGGTGGTTGCGAATAAGCAAGAGCAGCTCTTTCTCGGGGAAGGCGATCCGGGACTGGGCCACCACGCTCGCTCTCTGCAGCCACGCCAGGGATACGTCGGTCCCGATCAGCAAGGGTTTCCCCGATATCCTTTCCATGAGCTCCGCCGCGAACTTGCAGAACTTGACGTGCTCGCTGCGTTTGTCCTGGAGAACGGGCTCCTTCATGAGCTGCTGGATGTGGCCGCTACTGAACAAAGGCAGCTTGCTGATGATCTGCCTGACGGAAGTGGAGCGAGACAGCCCCACCAGGGCCTTGCAGGCCAGCGCCCGGATCTGATCCGCATCTGTAATCGGCATCTTCACTGTCAGCAGGGACAGCAGAACCTACGGAACCGGTCGGGGGGAAGAAGACGTTTACAAAGGCATTCCGGGGGTTGTCTTGTCCTTGAAATCGGGATTTTGCTATCAAAATTGGCGAAAACATGACAAAGGCACGGATTTGTTGAAATGATTGTCGTCATCTGATTTATGGCTGACTAACTTGGGTAGAATTTTGTGAGGTAGTCGTAGTGAATGGGTAAAAGACTGCAACTCAACGTGTTGAAAAGTTAGCAAGTCCATAAGCTGTCTTTCATCATATGAATTCAAGGTCCGCTTGTTTTTACTTGAACATAAGAGACCTATTACATCTGATATTGTCCCTTGCGTTCTAAGGGGGCTTGTACTCCAATGACCACGGGTGCATTTTAGCTTGAGTGTGTGCGACTCCCGTCAGTTCATTCAAGTTCACAAACAAATGACATCACACGACCGCAGGAAAAGAAACTACCTTAATGCCGTTGTTGGACTGCACCACGTTCCACATCTTTGTGAGCACGTTCTCGCTGGCTTTGGTCATGTGAGGGAGGCGACGACGGGGAGTGCCCGCAATGAACTTCCCGATGCTGGACATGCGTTTGTCGGGAGCGCAGACACAGTTAATGACAACCTGCAGGGCCGACTTCTGGATCTCTGCGTCGTTCACAAACACTTCTCCCTCGGCCACTGCTAGGACGATGTTCATTCCTGGAATCAAAAATGAACGAATCGGCGCAGGCTTCATCGGTTAGGACAGAAACAGGCCGGCTTTATGGCCAGGCTGTTTCTTTTTTTTTAATCGCTATGAGCTCAAACAGCAAAACTCGGCAAGCGTACCTGCGCTGGATATGGTAGACCCGCCCTCGTCGACGACGGCAACGGTCTCGGATAACAGCATTTGAGTCTTTGGTACAACCGTGAGGATGCTCAGGATGTCGAGAGCATAGCGCACGGTGTCACTCCTGCAGGAAAACAAAGGTCACCGCGATAACTCAACGCGCTCCGGGTCAAAAGCAAAACCCAACTTGAGAGATATACGCGAGAAGTCATTTCATGCTCCATCCACCACACCTGCCATAGTAGGTCCTCCAGTCACATGCAATGGAAATGAGTTGAAGGAGGAGTTGGACGCAAGAGAGTTTGTGGAAGACCTCCGCCGGTTCCCAGTATAAGCGGAGAGGGCCGTGCTCGATGATAAACTCCATCATCTCGACGACCTGCTCGCGGCTGTAACTGACCGCCTGCGACCGAGGAGAGAAGCCAAATGAGCAGGGCCGACCGAGAGCCTGCAATGCGTCCGACCGCTCAGAAAATGACCTTGTAATAGGGCTGCGAGTGAATGGGCGCGCCTCCCTCTGTGCGCTGCAGGGACTGCTTCACCTGCTCCACCTTGATGGCCAGATGGGCCTCAAAGTAGCGGCGCAGCGCCATGCAAGTGTGCTTCGCCGTCTGCCTGCTGGAGAAAATCTCGTCGTCACTCAGCAGCGCTCCCTGGTCGTCCGGGTTCAGGATCTCCAAGGTGCTAATCTGGAAGCCGACGGGAGACGTCAGCATCTGAAGGGCTCGAGCGCAGCTCCCGCGAGGGCGAGCCGCCGCCGGCTGCCGGGGCTTACCAGATTGACGAGACGTCTCAGCCCGTCCTGCTTGTCAAAGAGCTCCAGCACGGCGCGGAAAGAGAAGGAAATGGAGAAGAACATGGTGGCGTGGCAGCAGCCGGATGCGTGCGAGCATTCCAGCAGCCACAGCGTGTAGCCGACCACGTCCGCCAGAACCGAGTGGGGCAGCATGCACACCTTGGGAGAAATGGTCACAACATCACAACTATATTCCAGATTGTCGTAGGGCACCATGAACGATATGCTGAAAGTTTTGTGATATGAAAAATGGGAGCGATATAACTTTTCTCCAATATTCTCTTCGCCATTAGTGTGACCTAAGATTTGCACAACCGAGTTGGGGGGGAAAAAAAAATCTTTGAGGCGTCACGAAAAATATCTCACATGTGTTTGCAAAATTGTGCACTCCCTTTTCTGATTAAGATTCGGCCGTGTTCAGAACGAAGCGATCAGATTCAACCTCCCGATATATGGGAGTCAGCACACACCTGCTGACATTCAAAGTGCCTCTGATGATCCCCCAAAAGACTTTTGCCGACATTTTGTTTTGCGCGACGCCGACTGAGACTTTGAACCGTTTGCAATTCCCTCCCCCTCGACTCAGACCGCACAGCCTCCTAGCATGACGCTGCCACGGGCGTGCTTCAGTGTAGTTCTTGTGTCATTTGGAGCATAAAAATAATGTGCGAAAAATTCCACCTTGTTTTCGTGGGACCAGAACACATTCTACCACGTGTTTGGAAAATCTCATGTAAAGTTTTTAAATGATCCATTTTGTTTTTTTTTTACGACAACAAAAATCTGCCATTTGAACAAGGGTGTGTAAATGTTCTATATCCACTACACACGCACAATGTATCCAGAGGATGGTCATTACTCATCTAAAGGATTAAAGCGTTTATACTTCTTCAGTATACAATGCATAAAACATTAATAACGTGCCCAAATTGCTCATGTAATACTACACTGCAAAAACATCGACACTATTTTTAGTGTATTTGCATAGTGTTCCTTAGTGTTCCTTTTTTTTGTTTTAATATACCCGTTCCATGGCATCCTGGTTATAGGCAAGGTAGTAGAGGCACAGGGACACTCCAGTGGCAGCCATCGAGGGCCTGGGGATCTCAAGCAATTTCTGAACTCCTCCGTGCGCCACAAACTCTGCGGCAAACTTCTTGTGAAGCAGAAGAGAGGCCAAGTACTGTGAGAAAAAAAGGCAAAATAAAACAATTACATTTCGATGGGAGTTTGTGGATGTGGTTCACATCGGCCGCGGGACTTCACCTTGAGGGCCTCAAATGTGAGCTGGACGTCGTTGGTCTGCTTCAGATCCATATAATGCATCAGCAGCTCCCGGGCTCCCATTTGCATGAACACTGCCAACAGCTGAAGGGAGATGATAGGGGAAGAAACAATCACACTTTTGAAAAAAAAGAAACCAAATCCACAAAACGGGCTGATGAAAATGCAAACATTTGCCGAGCAGCCCTGGTTAAGGAATTGTCAGTGCTGAAAAAAAGAGCAACCAACCTCCTGATATTCTCCCAGTGGAGTGAGGTACTGCAAAATGAGTCTCTGTTCAATCTCAGGGGTCAGAGGATATAAACGGTAGCTGTTGCCGATCACCCACGGGCTCATCTCGGACCAGCTGCTGTTGGAAAGCTCGCTTACGTTCCTCTCCGGTTCTGGCAGGGAGAAAGTCAACTTGTGCTTTGCGGACCGGCCACTCTCTTTCTCCGCTTTTCTTTTTGGGTAACCGCTAGCGTCATAGGCGCCGAGGTGCACGAGTGATCCTGGGGCCGACATGGGCTTCATCATGGTTTTCACAACGGAGGGAGCACAGCTGTTGGCCTTGTGAGGGGCGTTGGGATGAAAGGGAAGCTCCTTTTCTGGCTCCGAGGCGGACAGGTTCATTTCAACGTCCTCCTCGGGTTCTCGTCCTTCCGTTTCAGCTCCGTTTTGGCCGAGCGAGAAGGACTTCTCAAAGCCTCCGTCGAGGGTCTCCTCATCCAAAGGAAGCAAAGGACCACTTAGAGTTTTTCTGGGACTGGGACGTTTGATTTCTCTTTTTGTCTCTGCGTCTTTATCTTGCAGCTCACGCAAGCGATGCAGCATCAGCGGCACCTGTGAACGAAGAAAATGAAAAACAAGCCGATTGAATGTGACGGATACGTTGCGGACGAAAGGAGGAGCTCGGTTATTCTATTTTTAGACACATTGTAACTGTGTCCAATCATTCATTCATGAGGAGGGAAAGCCAGACAGCCTAGCAGCCCCCTACTGACCAAGACGGAGTTCTCTTCTCGGTAGTTGGCTGCAATGTCTTGGTTCTCCATGGCACCAGCCAGCAAGCCTGTAGCATAGATTCGGAGGGGCTGCTCAGCCTCCTGAGCCCACTTGAACAACCTTTCAACTATTCCCTCCTGAAAAGAACCAAACCAGCAAGTTACAATGAAGTCGTTATCTTTTTGGCCCACACCATCTGTGGTGGCTTTTTTTTTAATGAAATGGGCGAGTGAATGCGTATTCAACATTTAATTTATTGACACCGAAATAAGAAAAACTGTGTGGAAATGGACCTTGCCTGCAAGCTGGACTCTGACTCTACAAACAACCCCCCTCCACCCCCCCTCCCAAAAAAAAACTGTGGAAAACAGCTGATTGACGGGGATATTGACTCTTTGGTATTACAAACTTTGCAATCAGACTTTTTTTGTGAGCCCGCCTCAAACAAACTATCCCCACAGCATTGAAGTGCTTGCACTAATTTTAACCATTTCACGACTGACAGCAGTAACTGAATGAGAGTCTTAAAAACCGTGATTCTGACAAAACCTTTTATGTTAGCCTTCGTTGCTCTGAGTCACAAACTGCCCCACTGTGGTGTGGTGTTCCACAGGGCTCAATTGTGGGGCCTCTGCTGTTCTCATTGGCTCTGCTCCCATTAAACTTCATCTTAAGGAAACACGGTATTTCCTTCCACTGCTCTGTGGATGACTGTCAGATCGATGTCTCGCTTCGCAAAAAAAGATGCTTTCTCATGGAGGCCACTTGGATCCTGTCTGGAGGAAATCAAGACCTGGATGGCACTCCATTTCTTGAATTTCAATGAAAATAATACAGAGGTGTTTAGTCCCAGTGGCCCTCGTACATCCCATGCTGCAGACTTGGGCTGCCTGTCTCCAACTTGGGTTTTCAACAGCACAGTGATTTGAAACTGGACCGGCAAATTAGTGCCGTTGTTAAATCAGGCTTCTTTTCATCTTAGGCAGCTGACTAAGGTCAAGCCTCTCCTTTCTCTGGTGAGCAGTTTGAAGCACTTCGTCACATCCCGGCTGGATTACTGTAATGCACTTTACTTTGGCGTCAGCCAATCCTCCATTCCAGTTGGTCCAAAATGCCGCTGCTCGCCTCTTGACTGGCACTTGTAGGAGGGAGCACGTAAGTCCTAGTCTGGCATCCTTTCGCTGGCCCCCAAATCCTTTTAGAGTTCTTCTGAAGATCCCGTTATTTGTTTTCAAATCTTGAAATGGCCTGGGCCCCATTCCCCGCCGCTCCGCGAAGCCTCAAGTCCACGGACCAGACACTACTAGAGGTGCCGAGAACTGAAGCGGAGGCTCCGGGGGGCTGGAGCCTTTTCCCTTGCCGGTCCCTATCTTTGGAATGACCTCCCGCTGAATGTTCAGCAAGCCCCCCTCGCTGCTCATCTTTAAACCTTACAAGTCATTTTTAATCTTTGGCTTTTGACTACACATGAGACTTGATTTTGAGTTGGACTGTTTTTGTGCTTTCTACTGTCTTTGTTAATTTATTGTTTGTTGTTGTTTGAATTATTTTTGCTCCATGTACAGCACTTTGTGTACAGGGGCGGTTGTATTTAAATGTGCTCTCGAAATACACCGGAGTTGAGCGGTTCTCACAATGTTGTATCTGCTGACTTAATTATCCTTCAAAACCCACTAGACAACGAAATACAATGTCATGTAAATCTGTTCATAAATAGTCTGAATCTTGAATGTTATGTTTAAGACACCAGAAAGGAAACACATTATTGTCGAGTTCATTTCAACGATAGCTTTTTCTTTTACCTTTTCCTGAAAGACCACTGCTGTCTCCAGGCCAGGCATGATGTTCTGAAGCAGGCGGCAAGCTTCTGCATTGAGGGCAAATTCTCTGCTGGCCATCACATAGCTATTCACCAACTATGTCGGAAAATAAATGTGGTGAAACACTTTCAAGTTTATTTTCCTTTTATGACGTATTTTAGCAATGGGATGGTACTCTGTGTTCAGTACGTTCTGCACGGGACAATATACTCGAATAGCCCCCCCGCCCCTCCCATTCCATTCCATTCCATTCATATCGCCTTGACGGTGCGTGTGTGTGTTCCTGTCCTACATTCACCCACTCACAGTTGTAACTGGCACTAACTGCATCCGGTTGTGCAGCTCATGTATGCAGTACCACGAAAATTTGAGAGACAAATTTGAAGCAGCCCTGGCTTCATTTTAACCTCCAGTGTGAATTAATTTCAGTTTTACTGTTGTATATGGCGATGACAACAGTGTAAAAACTGCTGACATTTTATTGTCTGCTAGCATAACTTGAAACTACTGTAGTACTTTTTATGGAGACTCTAGCAGTGTGACCAAGCTTCATGTGTCCATATTGTCATAAAATGCTTACTGGACACACACCGGAAATATGTCGAAGATGCAACAGCAGCAACACAACAAGCATTTCTTGAGAATGATTTTAAACACAACTACCATCCCATTTAGCATTAACGTCTGAAAATAACCCATAAGAACAATTTATGAGTGAAAACTTGCAGACCTTTTCTGTGGCTAAAGATGGGTCGCTGCGGTCACTTAATGCCACTCACATTCCAGTGACGTTTTAATTCCCAACAAAAAAATGAACAGTTGGATTGAGCGTTGGTTGATTGGTTATGCCTGAGTCGGGTGCCGGCATGACCAACTGATTTAGGCATAATCTAACGGCGACACTAGGAGGTTTTTTTTTTTTGTAGGATTTAATTTGTTCATCATGTTGTAAGCTACCGTATCACCGTATAGTCGCATGTAATCAAGGAGTCAGGGGCAGTTTAACATTCAAAAGAGCTGCGTTTAAAGAACGGAATCTTGAAATGTGTTATTTATTCAGTCGACTACAAGATGCAGCCTTGGAGAAGATTTTCAGAGAGGAGAGAAAAAAAAGGCCCCTTTTTGCACAAAACGGGGACCGAACCATGGCCCAACACCTGAGGTACCTGTACCATCCCACCTCTAAAATACACCGATTCCAACCATCCTTACTGTGTTCATGAAGTCATCATTCTTAAAGAGGATCTTGAGCAAATGCCCTAATACACATTCTGGATCAGCTCTCCCTAGTGGCAAAGGAGGACCAGAATCGACATGAGCAAATGTACGAGTGTACATAAACAACCTCCAAAGATATTTCTCGTTGTGTTTTCTTTATCATACCGGGATGTCGATCATCAAAAGGGTCCGGGTCCACTTTGTGGTACTCTTCGGTCTCCTTCTCAACGAGCTCAGAGATTCTGAAAGTTTGATCATAATGACCCCCCTCAAGCCAAATGGAATAAAATGGCGAACCCGATGACTCCGAACCACTTACTTGGTGAGGATGTTCACTAGCTCTTGTGTGCTGCCTTGTTGTTGCCTCTCCCACTCTTCCAGTAGAGCAGTCAGCTCTGCCTTGGAGTCCACACTGGCAGATGCCAACGCCATAACGCCTATGAGGAACACCAGGAAAATGACCACTCAATTCGAAATCAAAATCTATAGCCCATTCCTTACATATGCGCCTTGTGTGTGACAGCAGCTAGTAAGTCGTGGCTTACAATCAAAGAACTCTGAGCGGAACTCCTTTAGGAAGAAAGCAATACTTGAACCCAATCAGCCGGAAACTACTTTAGGATACATTTTGTAGGACGACAGACAGATTGTCTGTTTGCAGGTGCAGCGGTCTCCGTGGACCACAACTGTCAAAAATACAGAAGTGATCGAAAACAAGAACACAGGAAGCAAGTAGACGGAGCAGTCATTCTGACTGAAGCAACACGTTATGCATTTACTCGCATTCGGATGATGTAAACAAGATGCGCTCTTTGAGTCGCTGCGCCTCGGCTAAACAAGGAAGCTAACTGGAGTCGGACTACCCATGACGATGTACACGTGTTCACTTTAAAACTCACTATTTTATTGACTTTTGACGTGCACACCCGCACCGTGTTAAATAAACCAATGTGGGAACCACGGCGACCAGTCCGTATATTAGCTCAACTGTTGGCATTAGCCAGGCGCTAGCGGCATCGCAGGCAAAACTGACTATTTAGCTAGCTAACATGCTAACATTACCTCGCTGTTCCGCTTACTTCTTCAGTTTTGCCAGAGGCTTCCAAAATCGAAATAGGACGATACGGATCCAGACCCGACCGCTGCAAGCAAACGGTATCGGGGGAATTTCACAGCCAGACGTTAAAATGTACAATGTAGCTTTTTTGTTGATGGTTTACTGTCATTATGGCGAACACGTTCTCAACGTCATCGCAGCTGCGACAGTCTACTTATTATGACGACAACACACGAAGCAAAACATTACTAAATACCATTTATTAGAATGTCTCATTGAATACAGGTTGTACGAGTATTTATTCAAAAGCACGTGCAGTCTTAAACAATTATACAAAACATTAGTCAAAGCGTGTTATAAAATACATTCGTCTGAAACACTGACACAGAAATCACATGTTGATTTAGAAAAATACAACAAAGGAAAGTTCTGTATACAGGAAATATGATGAAATACATGGTTATACTCGTTGAGCATTTTTAACGATATTCATAACGTGTTATAAAATACATTTGTTTGAAACATTGACACAGAAGTTATACATGCGTTGATTTAGAAAAATACAACAAGAAAAGAAAGTTCTGTATACAGGAAAGTATGAAGGAATACATGGTTATACTCAAGCATTTTTAACGATATGCTTTGTGAGTAGCAAGACCTTTCTCTTCATATCATTCAGACTTTTATGGACATACCATATACTGTCATATAGTAAATACGTCAAGCATACAATTTCAATTAGGATTTCATCGTCGAGGAGAGAGAAGAATATGGACATATTGGCTTCTGCACTGACATTGCTGTGCAGCAACAGGTGGCAGAGTGGTTGTCTGCATTAATTAAGATTCCATCATTACTGAGAGAGAACAATAGGGACACATCGGCTTCTACAGTTACATCACTGTGCAGCAACAGGTGGCAGGGTAGTTGTCTGCATTGACTTTAAATTCATTTCCATAGACAAAGTAAATGTGCGTTTTCCCTTTCCACGAGTAGGTCACTTTGGTGACAGGGATCAGTTCGATAGTTTGACGCTGGACACACAGAAGAGTAGGCATGTTACCCAAAACGACAGACTTTCAATTGAGCACTAATGGTGAAATGATGTTTGATTAAATTACATGCAGCTACAAATGAAGATGCTTATAAATGACTTACCTGTTGAAGAATGCGAGAGGTCTGGGAGAACCTGCCCTGGTGTTCGCTGATTAAACGCTGTGCGGCATTCACCACAGCAGGGTCCGGGAACCCCATCACTGGATAAACCTGAACGAGGTCACAGGAACTGTATCACAATTAGGTCCTTGAATACTGTATCCGTGTTAGCCTTCCGCTTTAGCCAGGAAGGTTAAAAAAAAAAAAAAAAAAAATGATGTTTAAATTTACAGGGAAATTTTTTTTTCTGATGAAAATAAGTATTATCATATGTTTCGCGGCTTAGCCAATTCATTAATAGGGCTCCGATTGGTTCAAAAAGTAGTTGGTCGCCTCTTAAATACGAAATACATAAGAGGGAGCACAACTCTTGCTCTGCCCTCCCTCCACTGGCTGCCTGTGCATGTTTGAATAAAATTGAGTATCATTTATCGCAGATCAAGCCAAATATAGAGGCCAATGGGGACCATTCCATGTGAACAGTTTGGTGAAGGCCCTTTTCTGCTCCAGTAAACAGAGCGAGGTCAATCAAGGATGGTTGGATGAGTCTGCTGTGGAGGGACATTGACACTGACCTTAACCCCAATTCCTTTGGGAATAAACAGAAACCTGACTTCTGAACACAAAAATCCCACCGATATCTACATTTTGCAGAGTGGGAAGTTGTAAAAGGAACAGTTGGCCAACAGTTCCTTTTCATTTCCTGCTGTTGTCATGGCCAGGTGTCACCATACCGTATGTCTATAGAGGGTGCAACATAATACAGTCTAAGCATCTGCTGTGAGAAAATTCTTACCAAGTACTGAGAGTCCCTGAAAACCTCCTTGCCAGACACTTGGCTCAGGTTATCCAAGTCAAGTCCACTGCATTGCTCCACAACATAGTTATCCGAGTTGTTGGTCCTGAAATGTATAGTATAGTTTTGCTTGATCACTGGTACTGTAAGGCCTTATTGGCAGTGCAGCCAGACCGTATGAGGGGGAAAAAAAAAAAGCAAAGGAAATGGCACCATTTTACGGTGAGGTTGATATAGACCAAAAGCTGCTGTTTTCCATGACAAGTGGGGCATTGCTTGAATCCTTGTCCGTGGCAGAAGTGGCAGCTGTAGAACAGTGTAGGATTGAAACGCTGTCAATTGAAGGTATTACAATACAGACTTTAGAAGCAAAGGTTTGATGAAAAAAAGTTTTCCTTACTTTTCCCGCCCTCTGCCGAAGCAATGATTGCATCGCTCGTTTCCATGGCGGAAACCAGCCCCGTTGCAGACCCAGCAAACTTTCTACCAGAAAGGAAAGCGAGCCAGCAGTTGGACAGTTGTGACTAAAGGTCCCATCCATTCATGTGTCTTGCAATTATGACTTACATTGCCTGCGCCGGTACAGTCTTTGCAAGGTGTCCGCCCCATTCCCATGCAAACGTGACAGCTCTGTTGATGAAATGATTCTCATTAAGGGGAGAAAAAACAAAAAAACAAAACAATTCTCTCTCTCTCGCTGGCTTAAACATGTTTCAAATGATAAGAGGGAATTTTGAACCTTCATAGAGGAAGTGTAGGGAACTTTGATGATCTGTTGACTATCGGTAAAATAACTGGGGGCCGTTGCAGGAATGTCCCAGGGCCCCGGAGGAGGTTGGGCGTATGCATCCACCGGCTGGCCTGATCCAAAGAAAATAGCGTTGCAGTGGGGAGAGAACCTTAGTGATCCCTGTGGAAATTCTACCTTAAATAGCTGACAGAGAGCAGAGCTAGACAGATAAGCGACAACATTTTCATGTTGTCGTTCATCATTCATTCATTCATCAATCACGCCGGCCTCATGTAATGAACAAAAGAGAAACATCCGTCATCGAACGAGAGCCTGACAGTTCCAAAGTGGGACATGCACAAGAGAAGCGTGACCTACCCTTATACGGCTCATGACTCCACTCGGTCGATCTCGATTCGGTGAATGTTTCCAAGCGGTACTAAATTAAAGTCATCAAAATGAGAAGCTTAAATGGCACGGTCAAATTCAACTGCAATTTGAGGACGCTGTCTTCCTTTTACCCTGTAGGTATTGAAAGCCTCCATGTTGGTGATCACTCCATCTTTTACCGGTGCTGAACTATAACAACACTTGCTGGAAACCCACAGTGCAAAAGCCTCCCGCGCCGTAGCCTCACTTATTGACGGAATACTGGGAGCAGCAGTGGAATGACACGCATGCTTTAAAAAGGATGCCTCATTGTCTTAGCGACACACACCTTTTGGTTTTCATGAGAGGAGAACAAAAGTTTGAGCATTACTTCCATTGCGGTTGTTCAGATCCAGGTTGAGGCTGAGGAGTCGGATGCGTTGGCATCGGAGGGGGCAGAAATCCACCTAGGACCGGGATGGAAAAAGTTAGCATCTTTTTCATATGTGGCCCGATTGTGAGAGGAGCTCAGCAAAACTCAGGAAGTCGAAATAATCCAACCAAAGTGCATTCAGTGACGACTCCCATGCGCCCTATTTGCCTCAAAAGTGTTAGAAAAAAAAAAAAAACAACAACAACAGCAACAGCAACGACCACTATGACCATTTGCGCAATTTTTAATTCAAGAGGTCTTCAATACCGTGTGTTAACTGGATTTGGACTGCATCGCACTTGAGAGCTATACATTTTCACCCCAAGAGACTCTGAAACAGCAGCTGGAGATGAGTAGTAGGACTCGTCTCCATGCTCACGATACACATGACACGTGTCATGACACACAACAGCCGCAATCGAGTGCTCACTTGGAGTGCCGTGGATGACACGTGAAGCACATTCTCAAATGCAGAAATCATAATGCATGGCTGACGTGATGGACACAATGTTTGAAGGCAAAGAAAAAGAGGACATGACAGCTAAAATGAAGCAAATCCTCCTCTCACATAGATTCAACCATTGACAAAATGGAAATGACATTTAGTGTGTCTTTTTGTGATCAATTGGAATGAAAAGGACATTCTGTTAGCGGTATTACCCCGTGTGGCTTGATCAGCCTCAATAAACAGAATTTCGTCTCACTGAAAAATCCTTGTTACCCTTTTGGATTTGTGTTTGAGAAATATTAGAAAAGGGCACAGTAGTACAAAACTCAAGACAAAATAAACCAACTGTTCAACAAATACCTCCCTTCCTGAATGTGTGAGGCACGTTGATTTTGAACGCATCGCGCTGTACAAGTGACACATATTTCAAACACCTCTAACATTATATGCGAGTCAAGTAGCCAAATTGGAAAGACATTCCAAGTGTGACATGTTGGTGACGGCGGCGCTCGTTAATTGACCAATCCCCATCTCGTTCCACTTCAAGCCACTTGACATCCGAGGAGCAGTTAACTTGTACCGATGTGATGTGGTTCGAGCTCCATACTGACCTCCTCCGCCCGCCACGGTGCCTTCGTAGCCGGGCATGTTGTCAAACATGCTGGCTGGCGGAGCGCTCGGCCCTTGAGAGTCAGGCGCGGGTGGGGCAAACATTGCTGAAAACGAACCAGAGGAACCAGTTCAGGAAAACGTTGATATCGCCATTAAAGCGCTCAACTCAGCACACGATACACAAAATCGGTAAGCCGCAAAAAGAAAAACTTGACAACTTCCGTTCGGTCTAGTTGCGTCTCCATTTGACATTCAGGTAAAGTTTGACGGGGGATCCCGTTTCCACTCCCACGACGATGTATACGCGAGTGCGTGCGCGTATTGTGACTTACCTTGCCCCTCCAAATTGTTATAATCCATCGGGGTTGTTTGGGAACACCAAATACGGACTCGTAGATTTCAGCCCTCAAAATACAGAGCTGGCACAACACCCCCGCTGTTGTCACGGGCCACTAAAAGCGCGGCGTGAAGACATGAGCTGACGTCAACGGAGTGTATTGCGCGGAAGTGTGCGATGACATCGTTTCTTAAACAGACACGCTCCCGATTAAGCGTCGTTTTAAGTTTTAAGGCCCACTGAAAACTCTTCATCCTCGCACATACCAGAAGGACCCTCGGCTGACGGGAGGTAACCCGGATTGGGCACGCCGTAACTCGACCTTCCGTGGCTAGTTGGAAAGGAAAACGAAAGTTAACAAGAGGAGGCCAGAGCGCGACGAGCCGTCACGAGAGTTGCTACTTTACAAAACGCAAACTTTCAAACACTCACTCCATAATTGGTTTATAGTCCATGTTGACGCGTTGGTTAAGCTCTGAAAACAAACAACGCAAAGAGAACTTCACAGCCGCTCTATCGCCGCGATCATCATGTGACCCAAAAACAAATCATTTACCTTTTCTTTTTTTTTTATCACGCGTCAGAAAACACAATGTCAGCGAAAACGTCCCCGTCCCGTTCTGCTTTAATTTGCCAAATTGAAGTGGCGATTGCAGAGGTCACCGCGGCGTGTAGTCGAAGTCCGATTTCTCAACCCAGCCAGCCAGCCCCCTTTTCAGGAAACCAGAAGGGGTGTTCCGGAGGCGCGCGCACATCTGCTCTCTGGAGCGTCAACCCAAGTAAAGCGCCCAATAATTTGTATTCATTGTCACCACGCAGCACAGAAATACATAACACAGTACAATGACCAGTGGTGTAGTGAGGATTTTTTTTAAGTGGGTGTACGCGATTTCGGGATGTTCTATAGATACATACAGAACATCAATCATAGGCTACAACACCAGTTGAACTAACGTTAAAATGATCAACAAACATTTCAATAAAAATTGAATGTGGCGTCTGGAGAAGTGGGTGGACGGCGTACCCCCGCGTACCACGCCCACGACACCCCTGACAATGACAACACATCACGCTGATGTCGCAGCAGTCCACTCACCTGACTTGGGAGCGGGCAGTTTAGGATCGGTTCCTGCTCAATGACAATGTGGATGTGGCTGTGAATGGTTTGTTCGTCTCTATATGTGCTCTGCGACTGACTGGCGACCAGTTCAGGGCGTAGTCTGCCTTCCGGCCAAAGTCAGCTGGGATAGGCTCCCCGACCCTAATAATTAAGATAAGATAAGAAAACATTTATTCGTCTCACAGTGGAGAAATTCCAATTCACAGCAGCAAAGTTATAAAAGGAAGAAATAGAAGAACAAAATATAGGAGCTGCTGTAAAGGCAGCCACTCTCGCGGCACCATCTTGAAGTCAAAATAACAAAATAATACAACACAACACATAAGAGGCAGACAATCGTGCAATCGTCACCACCTTCCTGCATACACTTTGTTGTCTGAAGCAGTTATAGATGAAAGAGGAACGAATCAAACCACCAAATCACCAGTGGATCAAAGACGTCATGCTGCAATGTGCACACGTCCGCTACAAGCTAAGCTTGAAAGCAACACGAAGCTGTAGCGTCCGTTGACGAAAAGAGATTGACTCACATATCCTGTCCCATGTAAATCCGCTTCAATTCCAAGCCGCGACTCCCAGTTCCACATCCGCATCGGTGCTCTGCGCTGACGCTCCTTTCTTCTCATCGTCAGCTACTCAAGCCATGCATCCATCCAGCTCCAGACCGTCCAACAGCACCGACCTCTCCGCTGAACAAAGTGCGGCTGTGAAAAATGCTGCCCATTACAGGCGCAAAAAAACACACGCGCCCTGGAGCTGTCCATTAATGACAGTCAAATGGCACCGACATTCCTCCCAGTCAAAAACAGTGCTGCTGGTATACCCGTGCTGCCGAGAAGGCGCAACCACCAAGCACAGAGTCTCTTCCTTGATGAATGTCGTGGCCAAAAACTGCTGAAAAACAATCCACATACGGTCCACAAAGTGACAAAACAAAACACAAAAACAACAAAAAAAACCAAGGCTCATGAGAGCACTTGCCGACGGCTGCCTACTCGGGCGCCATCTTGGTGTTGAAAATGGATGGATGGACAACATGTCAAATTATACAAGATAAATAAGTACAGAAGACAAAATCACATTGCTTGCAAGCTAAATTCTATTCACCGATCCATTATCTGATCTGCTTGTTGGCCCAGGACAGAAAGAGACCGGAGCGACTGGTCAGGAGGGCCAGTTCTGTCCTGGGCTGCTACCTGGACACTCTGGAGGAGGTGGGCAACAGGAGGATGCTAGCTAAGCTAGCTAAGCTAAAAGTTATGATGGACAGTCCCTCCCACCCCCTCTATACTGTGTACAGTTCTTTTTCTAAAACATTTTTTTTGTGCATGCAACACTTTGTTTTTTTCTTTTCTACCCCCTCAACCCCCCAATTTTGCTGCTGTAGACTGCAAATTTCCCCAGTGTGGGATAAATAAAGGTTATCTTATCTTATGTTCAGGAAGGTCGTGGGGCGTGCTGGAGCCTATCCCAGCCGACTTTGGGCAGTCGGCGCGGTTCACACTGAATTGGTTGTTGAAAATTTCAAAATATTCTAAATTCACCAGCATATGCCAAAATGCCATCTGCTGGGTAATGTTTATTAAAATAATGGAAAAAAATACTCAACCCCCCCCACCTCCAAAAGAAAAATGGACCGAGCACCTGTTCTGTTTAAAAATGTACGTTTCTCAAATTGCAAGTGTGCCATCACAGCCCCGACCCAGCGGATTGGAACGTTTGTTAGCATTTAGCCTAAATAATTTCAATATGTTCCAATGTAAGTTTGAAATATGTTCCTCAGTGTACTAATTCTGACCTAATCTGCCAGTAGTCGAAAGGTAACTGATAGACTCGCCCCGCCCCTCCCCACCCTCACAAACACACATGGGGACAGAAATCGTACTGGAACGGAATGGCGACTTGTGAACCTTTTGATGTTAAACTTCAAATAAATAAACAAATAAATAAATAAATTGCTGCGGGGGGGGGGGGTGAGACAGATTTGTGAAGGGACTGTGGCATTCCCAAGCCCTGGTGTAGCATGCTGACCGCACTTGGTGCAAATTGGATCAACGGCCGCGGGCATCTAGAACACAGAGGTGAAAGACTCGTGCGTGGAGATGTGTGTGAACCGACTGCGTGTGTTTCAGTGAGTCACCTATTGTGAACGAAAAACATGTTGACTCAAAGAACGATTCTGCCCTGAGTGCTCCTGCCCGTTTCCTTTATCGGAGAATGCTCAACTTGGGCCCAGTTCGACAACAGCATTTAGCAACCACTGTGAGATGACTGACTGGTGGGAGACATGTTCAGCTCAAGGGTGGCTGCTGTCAGTTACTAGGGTTGATGCTATCCTTGTGCACGAGGTAAGATGCCTAACGTGTCACTTGGGAATGTGTGTGTGTGAGTGTGTATATTTATTTATTTAGCGGAACACTTAGACAACACAATGTAACTTCAAATGGTCCCTTTATTTTTTTTTATATATATATTGTGCCTTTCAGTGCACAAATGAACTTCCCACTCACACAGCCAATGCGTCACGTGTGATTATTTTCCACCAGCTGACACTAGCATCCATTTCTTCAATTATGTTGAGTCAAGTCACGTGAAACCAAACACACATCCCACTTCCCCTTATCTTCCACTACACGTCAAGTAATGACAGCAAACTGAATATCAATGTGTACATGTACAGTTGTACTTCCAGTATACATATTATTATCATACCCATTGGGCCTCCAGTACAATTCAAGGCCTATTATACACTATTCACAAAAAGCTAGGGAGACTTGGCTTTCAGCTGAAATTGATGGAAATTGTAAAAAGTTCACACTGCTGTGATACTGTAGTATGAAAGTGGGACATGCACTGGTGATTTCCTCATCTCAAACAATTCATTGAAACAAACGTTAACAACAATGGTGGGTACGCCACAACAAAGGATTTCAACGTCTCGGTAACTCATCATGTGCCCTTGAGCGCCAATTACAGCTTGGCAACGACGTCTCATGCCGTTCACAAGTCTGCCGAGGCATGGCATCCTACTCTTCTTGAGCTGGAGCATTGTTGTCCATGAAGATGAAATTAAGTCCACGTCATTCATGTAGGGCCACAATCACTGGATAAATCATGTTATTCAGGCAGTATGGGCTTGTCACAAAGTATAGGGCAGTTCTGTACTGACTGGACACCCCTGCCCACACGGTAACACCGCCACCACCAAAGGCCCGTCTGGTGACAACAGTGGCTGATGCATCGTAGAAAATAGGTAGACTTAGTATGATGCAGGGTTTTTTTTTCCTCCCACTATCTCTCTCTTCGAGGCTGAGCGAATTTTGCACTCACACTCCATATCAATTGGTGGCGGTAATGCACCATGCCGTTTGATTGCCGACCGCCACGACAAATCTAAAAGAAGAAGCCGAACGTGACTTTGGTCGTTGTGGACTACAGTTCCCATAAGCCTTTGCAGCACTCGCGGAAGTCCTTTTCTTTCTTTTCCGGTGTCGGTGGATTCCTTTTCGGAAATACATCGGCGGGTGAGTCGATGGAATCTGTTACAATCCACCTAATTTGTGCCTCTGAATACACCATATGCGTCCTCGTAATGGGTTATGTGTGTTTTCCCTGCGTGCATCTGATGAAATGAACCTTTACGAAACAACACGACTTGGGTTTTGTGGCGCGAGGTGCCCCCGCTAACGCTAATGGCCGGCTGCTAGCCCTTCTTCGCGTCTTGCCATGTCAAGTTTCAGCGGAGGCCCGCTTCTAGGAACTCCTCCGACATCTACGAGTGGCGCTAAAGCAGCTGTCCTTTTCGCTTCCTCCCCAAATGCTCATTCGCTTCGTTAACTTCACGTCGACCTGAGCCCAAAAACGTTAGCCGGGTCCACAGGGTCGTCAACATGCCTGTGAAGCGGTGCCATTAGAACTCCGTATAATTGGCCCTGCTTGATTTTCGAGCGAAGTTGAATGAATGATGTTAAAGTCAGTTCTTTGGTTTGAGTAATTGACTAGCATAACGTTATTTTTTTTAGTCTCATCTGTAGTTACAGTGCCATTCAAAGAGTTAGCTTAACGCAAACACTTGATTTCCCATTTCAGTCACAATGGCACCCCTCCGACCCCTCACAAAGCCTAAAATCGTCAAGAAAAGAACCAAGAAGTTCATTCGCCATCAATCAGACCGATATGTCAAGATTGCGGTAAGTCACGTTCTTGTAAGAAGTTCAACCCACATTCACCGCTTGTTGTCAACCTACTGTTGAGGATGTGCAAATAACCCATTTCTTGTCTCCAAACAGAAAAACTGGCGCAAGCCCAGAGGTATTGACAACAGGGTCCGCAGGCGGTTCAAGGGGCAGATGCTCATGCCCAACATCGGTTACGGTAGTAACAAGAAGACAAAGTATATGCTGCCAAGTGGCTTCAAGAAGTTCCTGGTGCACAATGTCAAGGAGCTGGAAGTTCTGATGATGAGCAACAAGTAAGTTACACGTTCAATCGACTTATTGTTTTGCTGTTAGTGATATTCTCCTTGAAGTACAGTTGAACACACTGTTTTGGATACTTATTTACAATACAGCTTTATTTATACAGCGCTTTCCTAACAGCTCCAGCTGTAACAAAGCGCTTGACAAAATAACACCGATGACATAAAATAACAAAATAACATTATACATAACAAACACGGACAGTCATGCAATCGTAACCACTTTTCCTGCATACGCTTTGTTGTTTGAAGCAGTTGTGTGGGTTCGGTTCCCACTCAGTGACGATGTGGGTGTGAATGGACGTTTGTCTGTACCGTGCCCCGCGGCCTGCTGGCGGCCACTTCGGGTCGGGGTGTAGTCCGCCTTCTGCCTATTCACAAAAAGCGAGGGAGACTTGGCTTTCAGCTGAAATTGATGGAAATTGTAAAAAGTTCACACTGCTGTGATACTGTAGTATGAAAGTGGGACATGCACTGGTGATTTCCTCATCTCAAACAATTCATTGAAACAAACGTTAACAACAATGGTGGGTACGCCACAACAAAGGATTTCAACGTCTCGGTAACTCATCACGTGCCCTTGAGCGCCAATTACAGCTTGGCAACGACGTCTCATGACGTTCACGAGTCTGCCGAGGCATGGCATCCTACTCTTCTTGAGCTGGAGCATTGTTGTCCATGAAGATGAAATTAAGTCCACGTCATTCATGTAGGGCCACAATCACTGGATAAATCATGTTATTCAGGCAGTATGGGCTTGTCACAAAGTATAGGGCAGTTCTGTACTGACTGGACACCCCTGCCCACACGGTAACACCGCCACCACCAAAGGCCCGTCTGGTGACAACAGTGGCTGATGCATCGTAGAAAATAGGTAGACTTAGTATGATGCAGGGTTTTTTTTTCCTCCCACTATCTCTCTCTTCGAGGCTGAGCGAATTTTGCACTCACACTCCATATCAATTGGTGGCGGTAATGCACCATGCCGTTTGATTGCCGACCGCCACGACAAATCTAAAAGAAGAAGCCGAACGTGACTTTGGTCGTTGTGGACTACAGTTCCCATAAGCCTTTGCAGCACTCGCGGAAGTCCTTTTCTTTCTTTTCCGGTGTCGGTGGATTCCTTTTCGGAAATACATCGGCGGGTGAGTCGATGGAATCTGTTACAATCCACCTAATTTGTGCCTCTGAATACACCATATGCGTCCTCGTAATGGGTTATGTGTGTTTTCCCTGCGTGCATCTGATGAAATGAACCTTTACGAAACAACACGACTTGGGTTTTGTGGCGCGAGGTGCCCCCGCTAACGCTAATGGCCGGCTGCTAGCCCTTCTTCGCGTCTTGCCATGTCAAGTTTCAGCGGAGGCCCGCTTCTAGGAACTCCTCCGACATCTACGAGTGGCGCTAAAGCAGCTGTCCTTTTCGCTTCCTCCCCAAATGCTCATTCGCTTCGTTAACTTCACGTCGACCTGAGCCCAAAAACGTTAGCCGGGTCCACAGGGTCGTCAACATGCCTGTGAAGCGGTGCCATTAGAACTCCGTATAATTGGCCCTGCTTGATTTTCGAGCGAAGTTGAATGAATGATGTTAAAGTCAGTTCTTTGGTTTGAGTAATTGACTAGCATAACGTTATTTTTTTTAGTCTCATCTGTAGTTACAGTGCCATTCAAAGAGTTAGCTTAACGCAAACACTTGATTTCCCATTTCAGTCACAATGGCACCCCTCCGACCCCTCACAAAGCCTAAAATCGTCAAGAAAAGAACCAAGAAGTTCATTCGCCATCAATCAGACCGATATGTCAAGATTGCGGTAAGTCACGTTCTTGTAAGAAGTTCAACCCACATTCACCGCTTGTTGTCAACCTACTGTTGAGGATGTGCAAATAACCCATTTCTTGTCTCCAAACAGAAAAACTGGCGCAAGCCCAGAGGTATTGACAACAGGGTCCGCAGGCGGTTCAAGGGGCAGATGCTCATGCCCAACATCGGTTACGGTAGTAACAAGAAGACAAAGTATATGCTGCCAAGTGGCTTCAAGAAGTTCCTGGTGCACAATGTCAAGGAGCTGGAAGTTCTGATGATGAGCAACAAGTAAGTTACACGTTCAATCGACTTATTGTTTTGCTGTTAGTGATATTCTCCTTGAAGTACAGTTGAACACACTGTTTTGGATACTTATTTACAATACAGCTTTATTTATACAGCGCTTTCCTAACAGCTCCAGCTGTAACAAAGCGCTTGACAAAATAACACAGATGACATAAAATAACAAAATAACATAATCCATAACAAACACGGACAGTCATGCAATCGTAACCACTTTTCCTGCATACGCTTTGTTGTTTGAAGCAGTTTGTGTGGGTTCGGTTCCCACTCAGTGACGATGTGGGTGTGAATGGACGTTTGTCTGTACCGTGCCCCGCGGCCTGCTGGCGGCCACTTCGGGTCGGGGTGTAGTCCGCCTTCTGCCCGAAGTTAGCTGGGGTAGGCTCCAGCACCACCACGCGACCCTCTTCTGGAATAAGTGCTGTGGATGAAAAATTGACGTGATCAGACAGAGATTTGTTTGCATATCATCTACTTTCTGATTTCTTGACCTGTGGTGATGCCACTTTTGCGTGTTAGAATTTCAGGAAGCTTTTGTCGGGAATGTTTCAAAGACTCAAAGTCAAAGTGTTTTATTTTGTAAGTTAACAACTCGAATTGAAGTCGATCAACGGTCTTTCATCTTCATTTGGCATAAGCCTGGCCGATAAAACATTTATTTCGAATGTGATATTGTTTATATTAGAGCAGACTTTGTTTTGTTTCCCTAACAAAACCGGCAGTGTATTGGGGCAAAAATTCCACGTAATGTGAATCCGCAGGTGCCGAACCGCGATGAGGGTTGATTGTATTCATGTTTTTTCTGTGGAATCTCTCCCTACTTATTTGCTGAAAAACTTCATATTCCTTTTTTAAATTATTTATTTTTGTTGTTGAGGTTGAAGGACGTTTGTTGACCCGCGACGGAATCAAACGATGGCTATCGGACAAGTGAACGAGCCTGTGCCGTCAGACTCACCCGCGTCGGATAAAATGAAACTTAAGATGTCACTACAATGAAGTGATACACGCCAATCGGTGTTCTCTATTGAAAAATGACCGAGTTGAAAAATACCTCGACCTGGAATGAGCCTTTCCGTGGATTTTGAATCCCATAAATGTGTTGTTTTTTTGGGGGGGAGATGACAAAGCGAATCTCATTATATTAACGGAGCGTGCTTTGACACCCCCCCGCAGGACTCACTGTGCCGAGATCGCCCACAATGTCTCGTCAAAGAACAGGAAGGTGATCGTGGAGAGGGCAGCTCAGCTGGCCATCAAGATCACCAACCCCAACGCCAGGCTCAGGAGCGAGGAGAACGAATAAACGGGCTCTCCGTAATAAAATACTTTCGAATGGAATCTTGTTCATGCATTTTTTTTTCATTCGCTTCATGGGACCTTACTCATCGTGGAAGTTTCAAGAAAACAAGTTCACATGGTGGCGTTTGGTTTAGCGCCCAAATGTAAGAGACTCTGGGTGAATTCCAGCTAGCTGATGTATCTCGAAAAATCCTTGGTTCATATTTTTGTTGCTGTCGATTCTACGGTGTTCCTTGAATAAAGTGTCCAGATGGCGATTTCGCAATGTTTGGTGGCGGCACCCCGCGCAGAAAGTTTCCGCTGCGATATGACGGCCGGGCCGTGCCCCTCTGCTTGCCATCTGTCAGCCCAATAGTGTCGGGGACGCACACAAAAAATTTCCACTCAGCCGGTCAAGTGAGGAAGAGGGGAGAAGCTCGTTTCCAGAGGCTCAGAGTTCAACCTGACTGGATGCAGCTGAGAAAGCTGCAAGTGCTGCGTCGAGGGACCAGGACGTCATTCTGGAAGGTCGAAGGGTCCGTTCGGGTCTTGTCACCGGTGAACGCAATGAGCACGTCGACGAGGCTAGCGTTTGGAAAAGGCCACCTCAAACCCCAACAAGTCTCTTTTGGCTTCTCTCAGCCTGATCTTCTGAGGAGAAGCGCCCACTCTGCGGCTGGAAGGAGGAGAACGTTCTCCTTTTCTCTCAGGTGGCGTCTGGGCATTGTGCGAGGGAGGACAAAAGGTACAAACCTAACCGCGCCGGGCTTGCACGATGGAGTTACATTTAGAAACGTCATACAATAGATCGTATCATTTGAGTTTCCTGGGTTGGGTGGGGGGAAGAAATCCAAAAGCTAAGTATTTTCTTCTCTTTCTCTAGAATGGCTCAGTTTGTTGTAACGGGGTTGCATGTATGTTGAGAGACCTCCTCAGCGCACGATTCCGACGACAGTCATACCTCGGTTTTCGACCATAATCCGTTCCAGAAGGCTATTCGAAAACCGATTTGTTCGAAAACCGAAACCAAGCTCTTTTTACAAAAACAACTTTATTGAACACGTCTGTTCACAATGGAACGCTACCCGAGGAAGCGCCACTTCCTCGTGTAAGGAAGTCGAGAGGAGTCAAGTGGCGCATTCAAGTGCACTCAGTTTGGTCGAGAACCGATTTTCGGTCGTAATCCAAGGCATAAAAAAAACTCGAAATTTTTTGTCCAAAACCGATTTGGTCGAGAACAGAGACGTTCGAAAACCGAGGTTTGACTGTATTTCAAACGTGTCTGTGACAAAGTAGATGTAGCAATAAAAAGCGAACAAAGCTTATTTTATGTGGGAAATGTTACATTATGTTATGTGTTGTGTTTATGATTTTACTTTATGTTAATTGTTTTATTAAGCGCTTTGTTACATCTGCTGCTGTTGTGAAAGTGCTAAATCAATCAGGATGTATTGTATTGTATCTAAATTGGTCATCGAGAAGGAAGGACAAGGAGTTACGTAAACGCCTTTGGGGGGCGCTCAAGGACTATTTGGTGTCGAACCCTGTATTCAGGAATCCTTTTTACTCCGCTACAGAACAAATAGAACTGAAGCAGCATTTCCAAAGACTGTAATACAGAGACATCCACTGGATGCGTTTCTGAAAATTTGTTCTTGCCGTATGGATCGTGTACGTTTGAATTGCATGAGCGGTTTTTAGCAACTCTCCAGGTTGATGTCGCCTGTCTTGAAATTGCACTTGCGCCTTATTACCACAAGACAGCAGCCTGGCGAGTTTAAATGTCGTTTATAGTGAGGTGGCTGATGAAAATGGAGGCCAGCGTTTTTGACTTTTCAGGCTGTGGGCGTCATGGAGGCATCGCCGCATGCCATTAGAGAATCGACATTCCCAGCATGCTCTGTTGCACTCACATTTCACCCATGTGAGGGTGTTTCATGTGGTATTTTGGATTGGAGTTGCGGTAGTTTTGCGTCGAGTCCCGTATGAAATGATTTTGTCATGTACGGGCATGGTCGCAGACCCAAAAAAACTGGGTGAAATGAAATCAATAACATCAATAAAGTCCCGAAAACCCCCAAAACTCAAAATACCAAATAAAACAAAAAAACCCATGACAGTCGCACAAAGTCCCGAAAAGCCCAACAAACCAAAGTAACAACAAACCCAAAAAACATGGCAGTGAAACAACAGTCTGACGCCGGGTGGTCGGCCTGCCAGTCCTTTTAAGAGAAAAAGCTCATGCCACGATGACCAAGTACCAAACAAAACAAAAAAAACCCATGACAGTCTCACAAAGTCCCGAAAAGCCCAACAAACCAAAGTAACAACAAACCCAAAAAACATGGCAGTGAAACAACAGTCTGACGCCGAGTGGTCGGCCTGCCAGTCCTTTTAAGAGAAAAAGCTCATGCCACGATGACCAACAGGTGCAACGCTGGAGGAACCCCCCAATGCCACCTGTTGGTCAAAAACGGAACAGAACCACGGCACTTAACTATGAAACCAAAGCAAAAACAGAATCATGACACGAGTGCTACATTTGGTATTACTTTGTAAATGATGGCAACTTTTGGTGACAGTGACAGTGCGATGTATTACAGTAGCCTACTCTCCACTTACAATGTGCAAATGTAATCGCATCAAAAAGGGCGAAACTACACCTAGGACGACCAATTTGCCAATTTTGAAACGAGCCCTCAGGCCATAAGGATTGGCTTTGTGGGACCAAATCCCTAGCGGGCCTAGAAAGACATAAACCAACCCGGGAGCCACCAGGAATCCTCTCGATGCTCCAAATTGTCCACTCCGGGCCTGCATACACGTGTGTGTGAGGCGCAGCTGACGCGGCTCGGCAGGACTCAGGAAGTGACAGGCGTCGAGTAGCGCGCGGGCGTGACAAAATGTTTCGACAGGTGTGGCAGCGGTTACCCTCACAGTTCCGTCCCGTTCTCTGCTCAGGTGGCTCGGATGTCACGCCAAATGTTTTTTTCCCTCATTGTTTAAACCACACGATCACACACACGTATCGTATCGTGCATGTGACGAGCAATCGATATGTCAAGTCTTGGCGCCGTGGGCGTGCATGCGCACATTGAATGAAGGTTGTTTGATTTGGTGGCAAATGGATATGAAGCCAGTGAGTGTGCACGCGCGTGTGCGAACGTGTGTAGGGGGGAGGGAGCAGTGACAGTAGTCGGCTCCCGCCTCACTGAGCCCCTCCGGCAAAGAGAGAGTGTGTGTGTGTGTGTGTGTGTGTGTGTGTGTGTGTGTGTGTGTGTGTGTGTATGAAAGAGAGAGAGAAGGAGAGAGAGAGAGAGAGAGAGCGTTATGTGTGAGTCTGTGAGCACATGAGAAGGGGGAATGCTAAATCCAGAGGAAAGAGACGAACATTTTGTAAGAGAATGGCAAGAAAGGGACGCGTGTATCTCCTTGTTTTGGATTTGATGGCAAAATAGTAATTGGTCGACTCGTTCTTGGGGCATCAGAGTCCAACCGAAGAGCGTTGGAGGATCAGGTCTTCTTCACTTTGGCAAGTATAAAGAGAGGGGGGGGGGGCCCAGGGACCAAAGATGGTGTTCCTCTTGCATTTGAGCGGGTGAAAAGGTCCCCGTCGCCGACTTGCCCCTCAGGTGGACTTCATACCAACAAGGTGACTTCCCAAAGGGAGCTGCAGCCATGCTGTGTGGTCTGAGGAGAGACTCCAAGAACAGTAACGGTGAGACCTCCACTTTTTCCCGTCTTGGCCCGGTCTCGGGTTGTCAGCGCTGTTTGGCGCCGTCGAAGAGTCTCTGAGGCGAGAGCGTTGCCACTTTTAAACGTGAATATTGAGACCGAGTCGATGGCAGGAAACGCCGGCGTCGGCGAGCGCGTCCAGCCGGCGCCGAGCGCGACGTCGACCGATATAGACGGAATTTTTGGTGAATCTGCTTCGACGTCCGAAAATAGCACCATGACCTCACCGGCAACATTTGTGCCACACCCCCGCCTACCAGCTCGGATTTAACCTCCATTCTCACATGCTTGGCAGGGAGCGCTCGAATGTCAGATTTACTCGTCTCATGTCATTCATCCTGGAATTTTTCGCAATTACGGTTGTGATGACACGCGGCTCTTCCGGCAAGCCCACAGAGTCGCCACGGGGGGGCTGCTTATCAATCCGCTTGCGCGGAACATCTCCAAGCCGAGCGATGCTTTGGGGAGGAAGTGGCTACGGCGGCGCCCCGTCACGTGCGGCACGTTGGGTCCTCGTAACCCGGCAGCTCATGTTGCCTTTTGACTGCAGTGACAGCTGCTGGACCGTCGAGACCCCCCCCCCGGGAACTCGCGCGCTAACCAAGGCTTTTGCCCAAGATAACATCTCGGTGACGCGTCGCTCACTTTGTGTACGTGCGCTCTCCCCTTTGGCTCTTTGTGCAAGGATGTGTGTAAAATGCCATGTTATGCAAATGTTTCTTCTGCTTTCCGTCACGAGAAGGAAGACAAAAGATATTCCCGTGCCTTCGGTGGGACTCGTGGCGCTGTGTGGAAAAACAAAGAGTTTGCTTCTATGATTCTTTGTATCCACATCAGAGCTTTCGGGGCCACAAATGACTCGACGGAGCCTCTGTGCCCCACGTAGTCCCTTTTCTACCCCCCAAAAAATTTTGGGGCCCAGGGCCTGTGCTGCGCTTAGCTGGTGCCTCACAAGTTCTTGGAAAGAACGTGTTTGGTTTTCCACCGGCAAAAAAGCCAAGAAGGAGCGACGTCATGACGTCATCGCAAAGCGTCCAAACGTCATTGCCCACGGCGACGTTTACCCAAGAGCGCCTGCGCTATTCATAACAAGAATCATAAGAATGCGCTGTTAGCATCTGCTAGGCAACCTAGCATCGCATTATCTTTGTATGTCATATATAACAGGCGGGAACAGAGGCAACCTAGCATCGCATCAATTATCTTTGTATGTCATATATAACAGGCGGGAACATGCAATCGGTAAATGCTTCTATCTTTTGTCATCGTTGTGGATGATCACGAGGCTGGCCGCTTTTCAGAGTTCGCATGCTAGCTGGGCACCGCCGCCATCGCAGTTCGCCGCTCAACAGTTTGTGCAGAACGTCTGTGTATACGGGAAGTCACTCCTCGACATCCGCCATCGACATGAGGACCCCGCCCCCCCTGACGTAGTTGCTGCCAGTCTGCCCCGACAAATCATTGGGGTCACTTTAAACACCGGTTTCAAGCAGGGAAAAAAGACAGAACCGATGCTAACCTTTGCACTGGCCCGGAACTAGCACGAGCACAAGCGTGCTGGAAAAGGTCCTCTCGCGGAGTCTTTGGCTGTGAGGCCTTGGCTTGCTGAGCGGAAGATGGCAGGTTCAAAACGTGCTGGAGAGGTGCCAGCTCACTTCTTGAGTGCACCCGAGAAGCCCGCGAGCAAGGCAAACAAGCCCCCAAATGCCGGGCCGCGGCCCTCTCTTTTGTTTCTGCTCTTCCTCCTTTTTCTTTGAGCGAAATAGGAGCGAGAAAGAAACACTCCAAGCGCAGCACCCCTCAGGATGATGCATTGTTGTTACACACAAGTGCCATCGAGAATCACAACAAATACGCGCTGCTGTCTTGAGATACAAGCGCGCCGAGTTTCTGGGTTTTCCGAAACGCGAGCTGGCATTCAGCTGATTTTCACAAGAGTACAAAGAAAATCCAAAACCACAGTGTATGATACTATGACCCAAACAGAGGTGCTTAAGAAATCAGAAATACGTCAATGACGTAGCGAAAATACATGCACTTTTCGTATGAGTCGTGAACGAGGCTGAATAATCCGACGGCCAGTTGTCGGCGCGGCTGCGTTTCTAAAGGCAGCTGGATAACGAAATGATGAGTGACAGGTGCGGCTCAGGAGGCAACGCCCTCCACTCCCGCCGGACACGGAAAAAACAAGCAGGATAGGAGCGTGGCAATTTTCTGGTTTGAGCCATTTTCTGCTTCCTACCGATCTCATGTCGGATCTCGGTGGATGATTGAGGGATCTTGAGTGAGGCTGGAGCGAAACTTTTTGACTTTGCGATGAATGTTTGGGTCCATTGAGGATTTGGCCCGTCCAGCTCTTCATCACTTTTGATACGGTGATGTGTCATTGCTGAGGCTGAAAAGGTAATGCGCAGCAACGCCGTCTATCAAATCAGCATCTTCCTCAGCATGACCGCTGACAAGCTCGCGTGTGCCACTTTGGACTTTAGACGGCCAACTGCTAAATCAGGGGGTGTCAAACTCATTTCACATCGTGGGCCACATTACGGCCTCGGTAGATGTCAAGTGGGCAGGACCATTAAAGTTATACCGTACTCTGCTATAAATAACCAAAATAATATATGTCTTTCCTGCTTTGGTCGAAAGAAGCACAAGAACATTCGGAAAATGTTGACATTTAATGAACATATCTTTTGCAAAACATTTCATGTCGCGCCTTAGATTGCCTCAGACAAATGTGCAATTGACTTTTCTCATTCACATCGATGCACTGCAACTGCTCCCACTGATTGTACAAAGGCACAAAACCTTAAAATTGGTATTGAAAAATATAGTCATGCTTTTTAAGATGAAACGAGATTGACAACGAAAGGAATTTTTAAACCCTTTCCACACGTGCATACAAAATCTAAATGTAATCCCTGCCTACACCTTACAAACGAAGGAGAATGCTATTAAATGTGTAAAGAATAAAGTGTTCACATGTCCTTGATAGCGTCTGCTGTGTTGGGTGAGTCTGTCTGAGTGACAGACTGCGACTGCTCTTGTCTTCTACTTTGATCAAAACAGTGTGCCCCCTAGCGGATACCCCACGAATTGCACCTTATTAAAAAGATTCCTTCCGTGTCTTTTATGCACATTTTCACTTTTAAATGATCCTGCGGGCCTGATCGAACCTCCTTGGGGGGCCGGTACCAGCCCGCGGGCCGTATGTTTGACCCCCCCCGAAAATACAATTTTGAGGTGTTTTTTTAAATTTTTTTATTTTCCACCCCCTCCACAATGAACACTTCTGGCCTTTTCGTAGTTTGCGACTACTCCTTCTGGTACAGAAAGTACATGATGAATTAAGCTACTGACTTATTCAACTCGAAGTGCCCCCCCCACACACACTCCAGTCAGCCCCCACAAAGGACGCAGTTCAGGGTAATAACAGCTTGAGCATCTGTCACGAGGTGCATCGGGGTCTGTTGCTTTGGCCATCTGCCGCAGAGATTTTGCCCTCGTTGAGCCACAGTGCCTCCTCCTAACATACCTCCGTGCTGTCTCCTCAGATGAGGGCCCGTACGCAAAAGGAAGCAAGCAGTCCGGGCCATCTGACCAATCCCATTTCTCCCAGCGGCGCAGCCTTTCAGGTACAATTTAGTCAAACGTGACTCTGCATGCATCATTTTCTTTTCGGTCTGCGGAACGGATGCACGCGCGCGTGCGCTCACCTGCACGCTCATCCACTGCGGAGGGGGGAAAAAAAAATGCTTGTGTCGCGTGTGTGTCATGAGTAATAAACCACAGGTGACAAAAGTACTCACACCCTGTACTTGCAGATACAGCGTACATAAATGATTCTGTTCAAAGCAGTGCTATTGATTGAACTCGTATGCAGGGATTTTTTTCCCCCCAAAACCTTACTGTATGTTTTTTGTTTTTTTTAACACAATAAAAAAACAGTACCTTTCACTCATAAATATGAGACCAGCTTGGGTCAAATCCTCAGAATCAAAATCAACTCATTGAAGGGATCGTAATCATTATCATCTTAAAAATCGATTGCATTTGCATGACCAGTGGTGCAAGGCGGTCACATATCATCCCCAAGGGGAGAGCTTGCAGTTTACCGGCAAGCCTGTTTCTGTCAAGGACGGCATCGTTAATTCCCTGATTTTCATGCAAATGAGGGCTGCAGGATTGGTCTGGAAAAGACTACTTCTATCCCACACTGGCACGCCAACAGCTTATTACGCATGATTCTACTGTGCAAAGTCGAGCAAAATAAGCAAAGAAAACTCCAAATAGGGCCCTCTGCGTTACTCTTGTATTCGAGGGAGATTTTTGCGATGCCAGATGAGAGGGCTGTTTTTTTAGGCTGGCACAAAACGCAACGCGTATGTGGAGAAGCATTCTTGTCGCCGAGAACATTAATCCTCCTAAATAAGGCCATGGACTGGTAATGTGAGCCACAGGCCACAAGAATTGAGGATGACACTAAATCGACATCAGAAGGGAGGCTGAAATCCATTTTGTAGTTCTCATCATCATCATCATCATCATCATCAGAAGCTGCTTTTTTGTGTGTGTGACTGACACAGAAGGGCTAAGAAGTGACAAAGGAAATGTTCTTTTGGAGGACGGGTTTGGTTGTGTCAGACCGAAGCTAACGCTCTATCCGCCGTCTGGTGGCTCCACAGAAGAGTACCGAGGAGTGACCACGGTGGATCTGATGAAAAGGGAAGGCAGCAACCTCGGGCTCACCATCTCCGGGGGCTCCGATAAGGATGGCAAGCCCAGAGTGTCAAACCTACGGCCAGGTGGGCTGGCTGCCAGGTGAGATCTGCGTGCGCTCGGTGATGCGGCTGAGAGCACGCAGCCACGCCAGGCTGTCCGCAGCACTTAGATCCGCTTGCGCAAACATGCTTAGGCTGCAAAGTTACACGCGCTCACCTGCAGGACTTGGCTGTTGTGTTCGGTCAGCTTTGATGCCGACGCAGATTTCGCCACACCGCTTCCTTGCTCTAAAGCAAAGATGCAGAGAAATCGAATAGGAATTTCCCCAAGAGAATACAATTGTCACGATCTCTCTCTTCATGAAAGAAAAATATGAATACAGTCATCCCTCATTTTTCGCGGTCGATGGGGACAAACTCGCAGGTGTCCAAATCCAGGCGCGGGGCAGGTCTGAGACGCTGTGTGAAAACCGAAAAAGACTTCTCATCGCCGCTCACTGAACTCGTAAGCGGGTCCGGCTTCCCCTCATCGTATGTTGAGCATTTTGACTATGATTGGCCCCATTTTGCTCAAGTCAACGGCGTGCCGGCAAAATGTCGCGGAAAAAGTCACGTTTTGTGATGATTAAGCGGGGTATGACGCGCTTGGTGGATGTGTGAGCTAATTTACTGAGTGGAGACTCATGCGGACAGACAGGGGAGAGACCGGCGGTGACATCGTGTGATGAGAGCCGACTGGATGACACGCCAGTCGGCTCCGCTCGTTCGCATGTCTGCGCGTCCGCCCGTAGCGTCCATCGGCAGCGGCCCGGAGGTGGGAAAAGAAAAGGGGTCAGAACCACTCCATTAATTAGTCCTGCGATGAGTAGCAAGATGACTCCAAGCTGTCGCATGAGAGGTGACATGTTCATGGACGTTCTTGGGGTCTACATTTTGGCCAAGAGATGGCAAGCTTTCACCTGCAGAAGTCGTCATTGCGATATGCTGCTTTGCTGGAAAAAAAAAAGAAGAAAAGACGGGAGCCGCCGTCCGCAAATGTTCCATGACTGGGCGTAGACTTTCAAATCAACATGCCCCTGCATCTTGATAAACATCCTCTCAACTCCCACCAGGTGTGACCAACTGAATGTAGGAGACCACATTAAGTCAGTGAATGGCATCAATCTGCGCAAGCTTCGCCACGATGAGATTATCAGCCTTCTGAAGAACATCGGGGAGCGCGTTGTCCTGGAGGTGGAGTACGAGCTGCCTCCGTTACGTACGTCAAGTCTGCCTGCAGTCAAGATCAAAAGTCTCCACACCGCTGTTCAAAAACGAGGCTTTACGACCCAAAATAGATCGGTCATGAATATATCATGTAATATATATAGTTTTTTTTTTGGGGGGGGGGGTGGTACATTTGCGCACCTGCCCTTATAACAGGAATGCGGCTGTGTCCAGAATGAACCAGTCACCTTCAAACTCATGTTAAATGGCAGCCAGGATAAGTGAGGTGATGTGTTCTGTCAAACATATCTTTTGGTGTTCTGCCTGAAAAGTTCAACTTTGGTTTCATTGGATTCGAAACACGTGGGCAAATGTGTTTCTGATGAAACCAAGTTTGAACTTTCTGGCCACAGGCTAATTCCGAAAGGTGTCTTTGGTGCAATCACAACACTGCTCATCACCGTGAGCACACTACCTGGGTTTCAACACGTAACATGGTGGCAGATCTACACTAGCTCATGTTTAACATGATTACACATTATTTTATTTATACATTTTTTACTTCCCCCCTCAAAAAGTATGATCTATCGATTGTGCGAGCTAGGAACTAATTCGAGCTAGCTCGCTAGCTCGAACTAGCTAGCTCGAACTAGCTAGCCCGAATTAGCTAGCTCGAACTAACTAGCTCTCTCTCTCTCTCTCTCTCTCTCTCTCTCTCTCTCTCTCTCTCTCTCTCTCTCCCCTCGCTCTCAAGAGAGACATAATTTTAATAAATGTTAAAAATTAAAAAAAGTTTTGAAATGATTTATCATGGTCATTTTAAATCCCCCAAACCTGGCATTCAAACAGAGTTGTTTTGCGGACATTTTATTTCCATTGTATCAACTGTATATGATGTCTTGTAAATGCTGGTTCTAATTGACTGGACTTTGTTTTCCTCTGGCAGTCCAGACTCCATCGGGAGTCATAAGCAAAACCACAGAGGTGTGTTTGCTCAAAGAGGGCAACAGTTTTGGCTTTGTCATGAGAGGTACGTCGATGAGCATCTCTTGTCTTGTTATGATCTGATGAAACCAAGTTTGAACTTTCTGGCCACAGGCTAATTCCGAAAGGTATCTTTGGTGCAATCACAACACTGCTCATCACCGTGGGCACACTACCTGGGTTTCAACACGTAACATGGTGGCAGATCTACGCTAGCTCATGTTTAACATGATTACACGTTATTTTATTTTTACATTTTTTGCTTCCCCCCTCGAAAAATATGATCTATCGATTGTGCGAGCTCGCTCGCTAATTCGAGCGCTAGCTCGTACGAGCGCTAGCGCTCTCTCTCTCTCTCTCTCTCTCTCTCTCTCTCTCTCTCTCTCTCTCTCTCTCCCCCCTCTCTCTCAAGAGAGACATAATTTTAATAAATGTTCAAAATTAAAAAAAATATTGATTTTTTTTGAGAAATGATTTATCATGGTCTTTTTAAATCCCCCAAACCTGGCATTCAAACAGAGTTGTTTTGCGGACATTTTATTTCCATTGTATCAACTGTATATGATGTCTTGTAAATGCTGGTTCTAATTGACTGGACTTTGTTTTCCTCTGGCAGTCCAGACTCCATCGGGAGTCATAAGCAAAACCACAGAGGTGTGTTTGCTCAAAGAGGGCAACAGTTTTGGCTTTGTCATGAGAGGTACGTCGATGAGCATCTCTTGTCTTGTGTTGTGTTCTTGAAAATCATGTCGCCGTTGTTCTTTTGGTCTTCTCAAGGGGGCTTTCATGAGGACTGGCGCAGGTCTCGTCCTCTGGTGGTCACTCATGTCAGGGCCGGGGGTCCCGCTGACAGGTATGAAACGATCGCATTCACGGCGGGGACGTTTTCGCTGCATGCGATGCTGTATTTGGTTCTTAAAGACAAGTTTTTATTACAAAATGTACAATGGATGAGAAAGAGGCCTTTTGCCATCTCCTTGTGAAAACAATTGACTCATGCTAATGAGCAACTAGATTTGGAAGAATACAGCTTGTAACTTGGTTGTAAGTTGACATTGTGGTATCCCATGAGTGGCTTACATTTCAGTCATCATCATCTGAACAGACTTTTTTGTATCACCTTAGTTCATTGCTTTATTTAACATTAACGTAAAGAAGCCACGATCTAAGCCGAACACAATGGAGACGATTTGGAAATGTACTTTAGCATTTTTTGAAGAGTTTGAAATGAGTTTCCAACCCGATGATCTCAACACCGGTTGGGCATCTCCGACATAAACAACCAGAGGCCATCTGGTGGGACGTAGGGAACGGTGGGGTCTGACGACCGTGCCTTTTGAGCTTTTCGTGCAGCTGTCTTCGCTCAGCCCCGCATGATAGCAGCATACACGGCGCGCGGGGCTTTTCTCTCAAGCAGAAAGGCCGCTGCTCCTCCTCGGGCGAACTCGACGTCACACTTTTGCCCTCGTGGTAAAAGGGGGGGCGTCAAAACACACGGTCAAACTTCCACTGCCCTCCCTTCGCCTTCGTCTCACCCGGGAGGGAACGCTCCTACGGAGCCGTGCCATGATTTGGAGCGAGCGGTGTCGCGACGCTTGCGCGAGCACCTTGGCGCTCATGTTTTCCCTCTCTTGTCTTTCTCAAGGGAGGGCACAGTCAAGGCCGGCGACAGAATCTTGAGCCTCGACGGCATGCCTTTAAACCGAGAGAAGCATGCTGACGCGTTGACCATGCTGATGCAGAGCAGCCAGGAAGCTTTGTTCCTGATCGAGTACGACATCTCTGTCATGGGTGAGCGCACACGCCCGCACGCGCTCGCGCACGCGCGGGCGGAATATGTGGAGGCACGGTCGGACAGCGTTGCTCTGAGGCTAAATCATGTGGCCGTTTGGCTGCGCGGAGCGGGGTGAGGCTCGGCGCTGGAGATGCCACCAGGGGAGTCACTCGGGCCCAAGAGCAAGAAGGAAAAGCGTGGGGGGGATTAGCATCATGTGTGGCTCTCTCTCTCCAACCTCTGCGGGCCAGCCTTTGCTTTGTTAACGAGCACGTTTTCCCAGCGTGACCTATATTATAAAAAAAGAAAAAAAAATGCTGCATATGAAGAGTCGACGAGCATTACGTGCCTCCGAGCTCCGGTGATGCCACGGTGACGAAATGTCAAGCTGCATCCCCACTGCTGGCCGATGACATGAGAGATGCATAAGAATGGATTTTATCCACTGCTGGTCCCAAAGAGTCATCGTTGGATGATTCACACCCAGCGCATGGGGTTGACGTGTCCACCCTCCGTTTTCCGAGAACGGCAAAACTCAGACACGGACGGGGACCGGCTTCAGCTCTTCAATCCGAGCCTCAACTCAATCTGCTGGGTCAAGATGATTCGCCCGACCTTTTGTAAAAGTAACTCGATCTGCTCAAAAATTCCGCAGCTGCCCAGTGAATTTTTAGCCTCCACGTAACCAAAACAAACCAAAAAGAGGAGATTGCTGAATGTCACCTTTACTCCCGTTATAAGGTCGCCGAAACCCACATTTTTCAATTTCATGTTCAATTTTATAATGACTACTTTCGGTGAGGCGAGGCAGCTTTATACTGCGGCATACCAAGTTGACAAACATGCAAAAGTAGACCTGCCTCGGCACAAAATCGAAGCGGTGCCCATTTTTATGCCGAGTGCCGCCTTTTTTTCCCTTTGACCAAATTGTCGGGTGCGGCGTAGGCGTGGCAATTCGACGTTCCGGAGGTGCATCGCGATCCAAACGCGGTCGGCTTGTGGCGCCGAAATAACTCTCTTGTTTTAATGCTCCCGGCTGAACTTTTTGTTCTGTCTGAAAACGTGCGCGCTACTTGTTGCAGAGGCGGTGCAACGCGCCTCGGGCCCTCTGCTCGTGGAGATAGCGAAAGGGACCTCCTCCGGTCTGGGCCTCAGCCTCACCACGTCCATCTTCAGGAACAAGCAAGTGATCATCATCGACAAGATCAAGCCGGCCAGCGTGGCCGAAAGGTGACGCCGACTTCATCCGTCTTACGAATCCACCGACAGTAAAAGATCTGATCCTCATCCTGTCAGGTGCGGAGCGCTGCACGCAGGCGACGCCCTGCTGACGATCGACGGAACCAGCACGGAGCACTGCTCTCTGATGGAGGCCTTGCAACTTCTGGGGAACGCCGCCGATGTGGTCAGACTGGAAATCCTACCATCCAGTCAGAGCAGACTGCCCGTCCGGCCGCAAGACACGGGTAAGACCTGCCGGTCAACTTCCGCGACGGCCCGGCGGAACAGGAAATCAACCGGATGGATTTCCAAAGAAAGGAAACCATGTTCGGTGTTCTCGCTTGACATCGTGGACGTTTAAGCCTTTCCCTACGTTCGAATGAAAGGATGTGGGGGGGGGGGTCCTCTCTAAATTCTGCTCGGTTGATTGCATTCCCCTTTTTTTCGACTCAACTCAATCCTTGCGGTGAGGTGGACCATAAAAGTCGACGCGGCCCTCTTCAATCGCCTCCAGGTTCAAAACCTTTCCCTCCAACAGTATGACCTATCATCTGTACAAATAGGCCGTATGTTAAAAAGGAGATATCATGAGGTTGCAAAAGTGATGACCCCCCCCTTGAGTAATGTTCTGCCTCCAAGAATAAATGACATTCATATTCATTTGGAATCCACGTCACTTGTCAACATTTCAAATGACTCTCATGAGCCCAAAACACATTTTAGCTGTTCTAGTAGGCTTTTCCTGACGTTTAGTTTCTTTCTAGCGGAAGCCTCAAGCTTTTGTGCTAACACCGAACGATATTTCAATCTGTTCATCATTACCGAGGTCCCTTTTCCGGCTGAAGAAAAAGAGCCCCCGCGGCCTGACCTGCCCCCGCCGCGCTTCGCTGTCGGCCTGGTGTTGTTTCGGTTGGGGAACGCTTTTGGGTTTGCGCCAAATGGAAAAAAGTCAGCGGACCTTGACAAAATCTTTCAAACACATGGGGGGGGGGCATCAACAGGGGCGTGTAGGCCTTTTTATTTCCGCCGTATGTCAAAATCTGCTGACGAGTTAAAAAATGTGCTCCGGCTTCCTTTCACGTTCCCCAAAGCATTAAGTTGACTCCAAATTGTCCTTTGGATGTGTCTTGTGATCGGCTGGCCTGGCAACCGGTCCAGAGTCACTCGGCATCTGTCGCAGCACACCCACAACTCCAATGAGCAGACATGGATGGATGGAAGCATGGGCCTCGGTTACAGTGACTGAACATTACGAGGGCGGAATTTACAGTCGACAATCTCCGTGGTGCGGTTACGCTGTGCAAATCTGCCTAATGAGGTGTGCATAGGAAGCACATTGTCTTCACTCCACGTGATGTCCGCACTCTCGGCGTTGCTTTTGCGTGGAGCTGAAATCTCAAGTGGAGCTGCCTTCCCAGCTGCTTCTTCGGTGTACTGTGAAGCACGCACGCGTGCATGTGTGTGTGTGTGTGTGTGTGTGCTCGTGTGCGTCTGCGCTACATCGGGGGCACAATGCTCATGCCTCGGGTCCCGCTCCGGGCACTCTGGTGGATACAAACAGCAAAGCGATCGCACACTTGTTCCTTGTGTGCCTGCTCCCGTTTTTGTGGCTTGCCAGCTGTGGGGGCTGAAGGTGAAAAAAAAAAAAAAAAAAAAAAAAAAGGCTGGCATTTCTCATTTCAAAGTCAGCCCGTAATGGCTTTTGTGCCTTTGCCTGGTCATTTTGTCCACTCTGCAGCCTTTTCGCTGTCCGGCTGCTGTTTGACAAGCACAATCCTGTGACAGAGTTGCTCGCCGAAGCCGTTTCGGATCAGAATCAGATTTTTTCTCGCTGAAGTCAGATCTCCTCCAGTCTCGAGTTAAGATCGCAAAAGTCGAACCACATTTTGACAGCTCGTTTACCCCCCGAAGAAGCATGACCATATTATGCGGCGTCTTTAATCTCCTGTGGTGAGCGGGTGGGGCTTGGGGGAGGTTGATATGGCCACTATAAGATTAGGATTTTTTTTTTTTTTTAAACCAATCCAGAAAGAGCATTTATTTCTCAAGGCGCCTCCCTCCTGGTGATTTTAGCGCAAAGTGCCAAGAGCTTCATCCGGCAAGGGCCAGTGCTCCCGGACGATCTGATTTCAGGTGACTGCTTCCCCTCCCTCAGTGGGCCTGACGTATCATGCGCGGCGCTCGTGTCGTCATCCGTGGTCGCCGCAAATCCGCTTCCCATGCGAGCAAATTGCGGCAGATTAGATCCCCGCTGGGGGAGTAGCAGGGATTACTGTCACGTTTAGCTTGCAGTGACACACGTCCTAACGAATCGCTTTGGCAAGCGAATTATTGGGGTGCTTCCCACACACCAGGTCAGCGGATTTCACAAGAACGCCTCGCCGTTCGCCGAGCGGCTGTCCGCTCGATGGCAGGAGCGGACCGATGCGTCCGATAAAACAGGGGGCCTTGTTTTCACGGCAGGCCGCATCGTAGTTATGGTCGCCGATTCGAAGAGGAAAACCTGCTTTCAGTTGTAGCTTCCAGAAGAAAACGGCATCAATGAAGGGCGCATGCGCAGTGAAACACGAGAGGGTGCTCAGAATGTCAAAAGGATGCGGGTCGCGTTCATTTGGCGGGAACAGAGTCGTGCTGTAAATTGAACAATTCAAATGGCAGTTAGAAAGTCTTGTGAAAGACACAGTTGGAATTAAACCCAAAATCAGTCCCCTTGCCCCTTTGTAGTTTAAGTCTAAGTCACACTTGAGTTACTGACAAAAAAAAAAAAAAAAAAGATTTTATTGTTCTGGACCCCTTGATATTACACCACAAACCACTCGAGGTCCCCACTCCCCTGCTTGAGAAACCCTCCGGTGATTTTTCCCAATCAGTGTGCCGTAAGAGCTCTTCGGGTGTGCCGTGGGAAAGGATCACATTTCAATGAGTAGATTGTTTGACCATCCATCTATGCCAGCGCCCTCTAGTGACTGACGGAACAAAACAAACACGACACCCGAGGTTTGTCTGTCGACTTAAAATCGGGCTCCCCTGGTGGAGTTTGACGTCAGCTTGAGGGCTGATTGAAAAACAATGGCCACAGAGGAAGTCCAAGCGGAAGTTGGACGTGCTGACAACTCCAACAACGTTTGCTCTTTCTTTCTTTCTTTCTTTGAAAAGCGATATCGCCGCCATCTGCTGGTCATTAGCTGAGCTGCATTGTGTTGGTTTACGGACTTGGCGTGTACCTAGCATGAGGCACGTCACTATAAATTGAGGGGTTCGTTGTTTTTAGTGGCTAGCTCTACTTTAAGAATGGGCAAAAGGAGAGATGGAATCCTTTGAATGCAGTTTTATTAAAAGGGAAAAAAAGAGCACAACTCCTTCTTCCGCTACTAAAACACTTCCTGTTTCCTTCAGCCAATCAGACGCTCTCAACATAAACATGTTTAATCAGAAATTATCAAAGAGAATTTAGGTAACTTTAACATCAAAGGCAATACTGTAATGTTCAAACATAAAATGATAATAATTAACAATTTAACAAAAGCTTACATCACCGTTTTGGAACGCCATCGTTTGACATAATCGCTTCTCCTGTGGTTTAGTGTCCTTTTCATGTTTCATTTTTCAGCCCACATCACAAGGGCCACATGGAACGACGCGGCGGTTCGGCTCTGGCCCAAAGGCCTCGAGTTTGATACCGGTCCAATTAGACGTGCAGCCTTCGGCTGCGCCCAATTAGGGCGAAACGCTTCCTGCTGCCGCCGCCGCCGGTATCAGCAAGGTGCCCAGCAGCCAACTGGCGCACAACCGTCCTTTGCACCCGGGGGCTTTTTCCAAAATGACGACATGGACACGCTTTCCAATTTCAAGGCCGTTTTTGGGAAGTTTGCCCGTCAACGTAAGATTCCGTGTTCTCCCCTCCCGCCGCTCGCCGTCCGAGTGCGTTAAACGTTTGTGAGACAGGATTAGTTGCAACCAAAGACAATCAATCTCAATGACTCTGCTCTGAATAATCTCCCGGGTGCGCTTTGCGTTTTGATCCCATTTTAGACCGGGGGGGGGGAACCCGAGTGTCATTTTTCGAAACGCGGCCAACTCGAGAGTGGGTCCGCCTCGCTCATTCGTGCCCGCTTGTCGCCGCAGTAAAAGTCCAGAAGAGCAGCCATCATCACTGGGACCAAAGCGGCAACGTGGTCCCGCCACCGCACGCCAGCCACGGTAGGACGTGGAGCAGCCCGAGCCACCCGCGCAAGCAGCAGGATCACTGCAAACGTAAGTGATGCTTTGTGACAGCCTTGCTGCTGGCCGACACGTCCGCACGGCACCGTATTCCTCAACACTTTTGCTAAATCTTTGCCACCACGTAACTAGTCTTTTTTTTTTTTAAATCTCACATGCTGCACGATGAGCATGAACCAAAACTGTATTTTGTTTGGAAAATTTTGCGCGCTCTTCGCCAACCCCTGTGCCACCAAAGAGAGCACCTGGGGTGCATTCAATTCCAAAAATTAGTCTGAAATGACGTAATCTGTCTTTGTTTATCCGTCGTCTATGCCAGTGACTTGAAGTGACAGGGACAACAATTAGAATAGATGCTCTTCCACGAGATGGGTTCAAACGACGGCCCGTCATCATAATTAATGACATAAAAATGAGTGCCAAAAAATAACTAAAATGGCTTTTTGTTTGTAAAGCTACATTTTTGTTTTTGAAAGAACATACAATTCTGTGGCTTAAAATCTAACTGAAACGTTTGTGTATATAAACTCCCCGCTTAAAGTTAAAAACTCATGAAAAATCCCAAACTATAGTTACTCTGGTCCCAGCCCCCTAAAAAAAAACAAACCAAAAAAAAAACAAAAATGTTGTTTCATGAAAAATGAAGTACTTGATTGCAAATGATGAAAATGGAAACATCCTAATGGACGGCAGGAAGAAAAAAGGGTTCATAGCATGCCTTGAGTTGCGGTACCGTGCACAGTTCAGTTGTATTTAACTTTGAAGCCCGATACTTTTGTCATGAATCGTCGACCTTTCGGGCAATCTGATTCAATGAGCCACCTTAGACGTTTCTCAGGTAAATCGTGCTTGATAAACTCGGCTCCTTGGGTCACCGCGGAGTGCAATGTGTCATGTCTGCGGCTGTGGTGAGCGCCGGCTTCTCCCCTTCCTCCGCAGCCGCATCGGGCTTCGGCAGCCAGGGGAGCAGCACGCTGCCCTGCCCCGCCGCGCCCACCAGCCCGAGGACCTCGACCGGCAAGAGGCGCAACAGGAAGGGGGACCACAAGAGCTCACGTATGACCTGCCGCCGTTGCCGTCGCTGCATTCGAGCCGACCGCTGGGAGCCGAAACGGGAAGTGTGACCGTCATTTCACGACCGTACGTTGCGTGAGGAGGCGCGGGGACACGGACGGCTTTCTGCGTTTAACACAGACGCAAGGCGCACGCAGGCATGGTCAAATGGCCGCTAGCTGAAAAAAAATACGATAGCATGCATGCATGTGAGCATGTTTTTTAAAACGCCACCAAGAGCAAATCGGAATTCGGTGGTTCTTTTTTGAAGTATTTCACACGTTATTTACTCCCGTTATTCATCCTGTCACAGCTGTCAAAGTCAAGGCCCGGCCGGGGCCAGATCTGGCCCGCAGCATCATTTGATGTGGCCCGCGAAAGCGAATCAAACATGGCAACTTCCAGGATGCTTGCTAAAATGTGGACCAAAATGTCAAATTCTCATACGTCATAAATAAGAGAGACATTGTAAACATTTTGTTCTTGCCAAACACCTCATGGCAGTCACTTAAACAAGAATTGAATCAACTGTTATTTTTGACTTTTTTATATGATATCAGTCACCACGGCCTTCCAAGAGAAACGCTCACTAAAATGTGGCCCGCGACCAAAATGGCTTAGACATCCCGGATCTTGTGCATCTGAAACAAACAGCTGGGCAAGTTCTCCATCGGGCGCGTCGGGTTCCCTCGCGTCATTGTCAGAAATGAGGCCGGCTTTTGCGAAAGCGCCGACAACGGCGCAAGCGGGCACGTTAGCGAGCCGTGGATTTGCCGCTCTTCAATTCTCTGATGGCTGCTCGATGGCCACGTTCCTCCGCGTAATCGATGGCTTCAAGTTTGGACTGCGCTTCGTGGGCGCGTCTCTTCATCGGTGCCATTTTCTGGGCTCCGCAGTTGTTTGGCCCAAGGTGCGTAGCGGCATTCTCTCCAGCTCCTGGTGGGCGTCCTCTTTGGCGCCCATCCTTGCCCTTTAGCGGTCGCCTTTCCTCTCCATAAGCAGCGTGTCTGCATGACATCAGTGAGTCCGATTTTGGAACTTACTGCGGCCATTTTGGAGACTATTTCAGACTTTTAAGTGCGCCCTACATTCGTGAAAATACGGTCCGGAGAGAGCGAGAGCGATGGATGGCTGCATAGAGATGTCAAGGGAATTGTTACGAGCAGGATGCGTTTTTAAGTTCTATTCGGATAGGTCGCCTGTTTGATGGCGTTTGTTTCTTTTGGTGTGAATGACTCATTTCTTTTCTGTCACCGTGCACGCGTGCGTGTTGGACTCGCACATGTCTTGAATTTCACACCAGTTCCTCGTATTGCGTTTATTCCCCCCCCTCATCTCTGTCCCATCTCTGGCTTAGTGTCGCTGGCATCCAGTTCCGTGGGGCCGGGGGGCCAGGTTTTTCACGCGGAAGCGAGCGAGGTCGTCCTGAGGGGGGACCCGCTGACAGGCTTTGGGATCCAGCTGCAGGGGGGCGTCTTCGCCACAGAAAGTCTTTCGGCTCCTCCCGTCATCCGCTTCATCGAACCGGACAGCCCGGCCGAGAGGTAACGCGCAGGCAACCGAAGAAGGGCGACACGGTCGGGGGGGGGGGGGGTCACCTTGAAGTCGCGGTGCAAATCAGTCAGTCAGGCAGTCAGGCAATGACACATCAGACAAGCTAATTTTAGCCGCATGACTATTTGGTTTGAAGGCAGACGCATTAGCGATGCATCACGGCGATAGAAATGAGGCCGACGGACAAAGAACGCGAGACTTTTCTCTGCCTTTGTTCCGCTTCCGAACGACACTTTGCAGATGCATCAAGGAGCAAAAACGCTTTGCTCTCACTGAGGACCAAGTGGATGATGCACCGGTGACCACTGGTGTCGGTTTAACGCATTCTGCCCGGTCACTGCAACGCAGTAAAGAACCGTGCTGCCTTGATTTCCGCAAGTCCTAATTGATGAGATTTTTTTTTTCTCAAATTTGAGATGGTGGCAGTGAAGTGAGTGCCATTTTTCATATTATGAACCACATAACCAAACCTTAAGCTTTTTGGGAGGGATCTTGGAATGGAGTGGCAGTTCCATGCTTATAGAAGTGCACACGCATTTTCAAAAACGCCATCAATTTTTTTTTTTTTTTTTAAATGACCTTGTCACCACAAATTGGTTAATGTCCGTCCCAAGTCCTATTACGCGCGTGCCTCCCGGGCCCGGTCCGGCGTGCGGCGTCCTTTTCCTGTGAGGTAATGATGCTGTTGGACAGGGTCACCTCCCCTATGTGACAGCGTTGAAGTTCCGCGGCAGTGTTGAGCCTCCCACTGGGATTTTCGCACCTAAGCCTCCGCGTAAGCTGAATCCGCTGCGGGGATGTTGGTCACTTTAACGTTTTATGACGGGACTTTGTTTTGTAGGCGTGATGTCATTTCCAAGGATTATCTGTATTTTTTTTTTTTTTCCCAGGGAATTTACTTGCAGACTACTGGCTCCCTAAAATTGGTGACGCCTCCTTTGGTATTAATGAATAGACACGACGCTTGTTGACCAGAACATGAAGGACACCAGAACATTCTCACGGGATCCAGTGCAGCTGCCATTTCTACAGCACAAGTGCTGTGTACATGGAGCAAAAAGAATTCAGACAACAAGAAAACAAACAATCCATTCATAACAAAGCACAAAAACAGTCCAATGAAAAGTCAAGTTTCATGCCAAAGACTAAAAAAGAAGAAATCGGAGGACCTTGAAAAGGACTCTCAAATGAGCCAGTGAAGGGATGCGCGCCCTACCAGGCGGGGGTCGAGCCACGGCATTCTCACAAAAATATGTTGCATCATTGTGTTGCAAAATGTTTATTATTCTTACGCGCAGGTGCGGCTTGATCCAGGTCGGCGATCGACTCTTATCCATTAATGGCATCCCAACGGAAGACGGCACTTTGGAGGAGGCCCATCAGCTGCTCAGAGACTCGGCTCTGGCCAATAAGGTCACCGTGGAGGTTGAGTTTGATGTGGCAGGTACACGCGGTTGCACATCCTCGCGCGAGGACCGGAGAGCTTCTTTGATGTCGGTTTTTCTTCTGCTCCTTAGAGTCCGTGGTTCCGAGCAGCGGTACTTTCCACGTCAAACTACCCAAGCGAAGAGGAATGGAGATGGGCATCACCATCAGTGGTGAGTGCTGGTATAAAACTGTCCAGCAGGGGGCACTATTGTGTTGATGGCGCTTCACTCCTTCAGACGGCGACGCTTGATCGCCACAAAATGTCCACCATCGAATGACATCCCAGACACGAGTCTGCTCTACTAGACTTCGAATGAGATCAAAATCGAAAAATATAATCCATTCAACACAAACGTATATCGTTATCGGCTATTTGGAGTTGATCTCCATGAAAGGATTTGACTAATCTAAACCCCAAAACTGCCAATTACAACAAAAAACGAGACTATACCTCAAGGTTTGGATCAGATCCAAACCTTGCGTTATATCTCCTTGGACGTTGAGGCTGTGGAGTGCATACATACACGATCCTTGGTAACTGTGGGCCCTGTATCAACATTTAAAGTCTTCAAGTATGATACGAATGATTCCAAATGTGATTACGTAAACCGCAAAAAGTAAAAACATTGACCCCCCCCCCCCTCCTGTCTTCGTTTTATTTTAAAAAAACAGCAAGTAAGAAGTCTGGCAAGCCGCTCATCATCTCTGACATCAGAAAAGGAAGCGTAGCCCACAGGTATGTCGTTTCATCCCATAACAAAGCACATCATTTTTAATCTCTGCGTGCCAAACTATTGACGCCCCCAGCGTGCCCCCCCGATAGCAAATCTCTTCAACCTGAATTGGATTGACCATAAAATGCTGTTCGGTAGAGCAGCGGCAGTCCGTTTTGAGAAGGGCTCGGTGTCGATTGGGGACGCGGTCGAGGTGGCGCTCACCCCACCGAGACGGGAACGAGGCTTCCCGTTGTGAGTCGGGAGCAGGGAGCTGCTCCCGACTCACAACTGGGAGCTTCGCTCCCTTTGACACTTTCAGAACGGGCACCCTGGAGCCCGGAGACAGACTGCTGGCCATCGACGGCGTGCGTCTTGAGGACTGCACCATCGAGGATGCCACGCATGTCCTGGATCAAGCCGAAGACATGGTCAAGCTGCGAATACAGAAAGACGAGGACAACATCGGTAAGGGTGTCCCGGACGACGCAAAGCGCTCATCGCCGCTTCCCAACTTGGACTGAGCCCGGGCATTGATTTGAACGCGGAAAAATGTCACGGCGCGTTGCCGCTCGTGAGATGATGACGATCTCCACTTGGCTGGCAAATTGACAGAGTGCATCATTTGGCCCATTTGAGTTGAATGCAAAGTTTATACACTCGCAAAAACAAGGCGAGACGTCGAAACTGTTGAATCGCTTGAACAAGTAGCGATCCAGGGGAAAGTGTGAAAAATGCAAGCAGAGTTCGCTCGGCCATGCCCGCGTAAACGTGAGCGGTTTCGTCGCTCGCAACCATCTGTCACGTTTGCGAGTCGCAATGATGCCCACACCGGCGGTAGAAATCCTGCATTGCCGGTCCACGAACGGCATAATCCGGCCGGTACTTGCCTCAACTGGTCCGTGACACAAAACAAGTTTGCGAGCGCCGCGGTCCAAGGTTGTTTTCCCTTTCGCTGTACATCAGATATTAATTTGGTGTCAATAATTGGACGAAGTGGATACGGATCTGCGTTTTTTTGCTCGGTGCCCAGATGTTGGCAATGACTCGCGTGACGTGACGGTCGACGGTGGCGGTTGTGCTGCGCTCTAGATGAACGTGTCTTCTCTAGATGAGCTGGAGATGTCCGGTTCCATCGTCTACACGGTGGAACTCAAGCGATACAACGGCCCCCTGGGGATCACCATTTCGGGCACGGAGGAGCCTTTTGACCCCGTCGTCATTTCGGGGCTAACCAAGAAAGGCCTGGCCGAGAGGTGAGACCTGCGCGGGGGGGGGGGGAGTCGCAGCGGACGCGGAAGTGACGCTCGCCGCGTGTCGACGTCTTGCGGTTGAGTAAGACGTGAAACGTCGGCGATCTCATTTGTGTTCTCGATGACGAGAAGCCTCTTTGTCTGCTGCTCGGTCGGCACGCCGCCTCGTGTTCGGACGCGTCGGCTCTGTGTCGTGTCTGGAGTCTCCTCCCTCTCTCCCAAATCTGCAGGACGGGGGCCATTCACGTCGGCGACCGCGTGCTGGCCATCAACGGGGTCAGTCTGAAAGGCAAAACGCTGAGCGAGGCCATCTACCTCCTGCAGACGGCCGGGGAGTCGGTCACGCTCAAGATCAAAAAACAAGCGGACCGCGCGCAGCCGTCGCCTCCTTCTCATGGCAAGAAAGCACGCATGTTCATCACCCCCCCCAAAAATGGCAAATATGTTCGATGCGCCCCCAACAGTGTTCGGATGAGCATTATGTTTGTCCATTATGACTTCAATGGCGACTTTCGCCCGTTTTGATTCCCCTCCGGCGTCGGCCATTTTGCTGACTCACTCTCGACTAACGGCGTCATGGTTGCGGCTCGCCACTTCTCCGGGTTTGGTCATGTGACGCTCGCAAGCTGAGCGGTGATTGGCCATTTACCTTGCGCAACTGTGATGTCATTCCCGGTCGCCAGCAGGTGGCGAAGAGCTCGCCCCTGAGATGTCTGAAAAGGGTTGGATCTTGCTCCTGAATTATTCCACAAACGCAACAATAATCGCGTTTGGACGAGCTGGGGGGGGGCGCATCGAACATTTGGCAGTTGAAGTGCCCATTCAGAATGACATTCCGCACACTTCCGGGTGGCGAAAGACTGACCTTGTCCAAATGATGCAAAACCTACAGCTCAACAACAAATCATTCAAAAAACGTGCTCTTGAAATTTGGCACGACGGGGGGAAGATTTGAACACGATGCCGGCAAAATTCTAGAAGGACTGATCAGGTGGAAAAGGATGAGAGAGATTTCTGCCGTCTACTCCTCTTTGTCAAATCTCGTCAGAGAGGAAAGCGGCTGCTGTGAGCCGTGCTTAGTCGGCGGCCGCGTCGTCTGCCCTGGCGGCAACGCCGCCGACACTCGAACCTTCGCTACGAGACGGCGTTCTCCTTCCAAAATAAAAGAAACGGAAATTGCAGCAACAAAATGGCTGAATAGCTCGAAAGCCGGGCCTGGCCCGCGCCTCGTCGCCGCTCGGAGGTACCCGGTGCCGCCTCTTAACTCATTCCCTCCCAAAGACGTTTTGAAACGTCTTTTCCGACTTGGTCCAGAATTGGCTGCTACTGAATGAGTTAACAAAGATGAGAAATATCGCGGGGCGGGCATCCGCTTTGGAAGCAAAACTCTGCGACATCAAATCCATTCATCCTTTTCCCGAAGCGGGCGAGACCGATCCCCGGATTTCGTCTCCATTGTCTCGACTCGCTTCCAGAATACGACGGCAGGCGAGCTGTGGACAGAGAAGCCGGCTTCCTGAGCGACCTCGAGGACGAACTGAGGGACTCGCAGAGAACGGGCAAACGCTCGGAGATGTACTCGGCCGCCGTGCCCAGCGTGGACTCCGCGATGAGCTCCTGGGACGGTTCGGGATGCGACGGCGGCTACGGGAGCCAAGGTGAGGCTGCGCTCGGACTCTTTTTTCTTTCTCAAGCGGGCCCCCGGACGCCCAGATGATTGTCTTGCGTCTCAGCGACATATCTTCACAAAGACGCCTTCCTCCATCCCAACGAATGGAGGAGAAGCAAGTACAGGAGCCCGATCGGGTCCAGCGCCGCGGGACTGGCGCAGCGCTACGACGAGGACGACTGGGACAACGTGCCCGGGTAAGAAAGCGCCGGGCCGCTCCTTCCGTCTCCATCTTGGCGGCTCCTTTTGGATGTCGGCGCGGCTTTAATTGATTTCTGCGAGCGTCTCTGCTGTTTTTTTTTTTTTTTTCCTTTGTTTCCTGTGTTTGATTTCTTTGACAAAGGCCACCCGCACGGTTTGCGTGTCACAGCGTCGATGTTAGACGGAGTTTAAAGCTCCGACGTTTGCTTGTCATGTGATGCTTTTGTGTTTTGTTGGCTTGGTCCAAACTGTTCCTTTTTTTTTTTCTTTTTTCTTCTTCTTCTTCTTCTCCCTCAGGTATTCTCTCTCTGATCTGCTTTACTAATCGCCCACAAGCTCTTTGGTGTGTCGCCTGTTTCATGTCCACACCAAAAAAAAACGCATCAGGACAACTCGGCCATATGTCTCCTTCTTCATGTTTTTTTTTTGTGTTTTTGGCTCACATGCCTTCATTTTTTTTTTTTGGGTGGGGGGGTTTGCTGTGGAGGTGAGAACTGCTTTGTATTTCCAAGAAGAGAAAAAAACTCTTCAGTGTTTTGAGAGGTGTCCAGTGTGGTCTTGAGGCTTTCAAAGGGACTCTCCTTCCCCCCCAATTTTTTTTTTTTTTTTTTTTCCCCCCCACGCTGCTTTTGAAGGCAGCGGCGGCCAACAAGACGGCAAGACCGCTCTCACGCTGTGGTTCCTGCATTGTCGTAGATTCCTCAGCCCCCCTCATTGCCACGGCACCCCCAATCAGGAGGATAGCTTCTGGTCGCAGGCTCTGCGGGACCTGGACACTCGCGGCCAGTCGGAAATCCTCCGGGAGCTGGAGGTAGGTCGGCCTTCTCTTGCATCACCCGCGGCCATTTCACGCACCGCCTCCCCCTCGTCGTCGGGGCCGTACGATCGTGCCCGATGAGGCTTTCCGATAATCTCTCAAGTTTGGGGTGCGATACGCTCTGAAATCAGCCGGGGCGGCCGACCCCCCCGTTGCCACGCTAAATGTTTTCAGTCTGGCTTTTGGTGTGTGCGCTCTTGTTCCAGGCATCGATGTCAGGCAGCGCTTTTAGCCTGTACCTCGACGAGACCAAGACGGAGGACGACTCGATGTTCCCGTCCGAAATAAGTCCCGTTAAGCGAGAGGAAACCAAAGCGGCGCCAAAGGACACAAGCGGCCTCAACGTGGTGAGCGGAGGTGGCGCAGGCTCAAACAGTTTACCTTCGCTGAGCGCGGCCCCGCGCGAGGTAGCGCGCGCTCCTTTTGGGAAAAACGGCTTTTAAAGTTGTACACGCGTGGATCACATGAAGACGCAGTCGAAGCTCTTTTCAACAACGCGCCCCGGTGACGTTTTCGCCCCGACAACGTTCACCTTTCAAAATCCCGATTTCAGCTCATTTTCCATTTGTTGCTTTTGCTTCCAACGAACAAGTTTACCACCTAAAATCATGATCACGGCCCGATTTTTGTCCTCCCACAAAACAGCGACGACACCTTCGTGACGACGAGCCGCGGTAAGCTAACTGCCGCCGCGACCGTGCCGATGAACAAAATGACGTCGCGTCCGAACGCCTCGGTACGTCGTACTTGCGGAGGCGCGGCGCACGGCGTCTGCAAGCAAATTTCGCTGTCTGCGAAGGCTGAAATCGCTTGGCACTTTTGAAAGGGAATCTCCCAGACGACGGCGGCGGCGGCACTGGCACTCGCCGATAGCGTTGATCGTTTTCTGAGATGAAGTAGGAACGCCACAGTTGTTTGTTTCACGTCTTGTCAAATCATTTTGTCTTCATGTACACGTCATTGGAAGTGGCGTGTTTATCCCGGACGACAGTTTCGTGTTTTCACATCTTGACGAGCCGCCGACACCGAGCCATCCAACTTTTCGCAATTCATTCCACATCCATCCAGTCAAATGACGCCGCATTGCTCGTGCGGCGCTGACACTGGATGGGGAGTTGCCTGGCAACTAATGACAGTCATTTTATTTTCAAACAAGATGTTGAATTGTTTTTTAAAAATCATTTTTTGGCGAGGTTGATTTTTTTTTTCCCTCACATGTTGGGTTTTTAAATTTGACAGACTATTTTCATCTTTTAGCGGTTTGGTACCGACCCAATTGACGACATCTTAGAAATTCCAAATCGGCGATGGCCACTTTAATAGAGTTCCTCCAAAAAAAAAAAAAAAAGTTGGGCAAGTGTATTTGATGTTCCCCTTGTACTGATCATCATGAAGGGGGAAAAAAAAAAAGCTCACTGGTCCAACGTGTTCTGCAGATGATTTGACAAACGGCACCGGATAATATCTGCGTGACGCGTGTGCAGGTGGTGATCAGAAAGGACCCCGAGAGCGGCGACTTTGGATTCAGCGTGTCGGACGGGCTGCTGGAAAAGGGAGTTTTTGTCAACCTGATCCGCCCTCACGGCCCGGCCGACCGGGCGGGCCTGAAGCCTTACGACCGGATTCTTCAGGTGCCCCTTCCTTTTTCTAAACCCAAATGTGTGTTCTCTTGACATTGGGCGACGATATCAACTCGTAGCGAATAGCAAGTCGGAGGCCGGGGTGCTCGTTAACGGGGAAGCGGACGCACGAGCGAGAGACAAAGCTGCTTTGAGGTGTTGCTCCCATCGCGTGTGAAGTTCGTCACGCAGAGCTCAATCGATTTTGTTCCGGAGTCACGATAGTTAATGAATAGGAGGAAGTCACAGATTCCAACTTTCATAACACTTTGTCCACCTCGTAGCTCCTTTTTGTGGTGCGTGTGATTTGGCCAGCAGGGGGCGGTCACGCAGGCACCAATAAAGCCATGTGACGCTGTAAACCGCCGTTATGTCAGCTGTTTTTCAGAGAGGATCAAGAATATACGCCTCCGAGTCGTGTTAGACAGTCGCGGTTTGACATCCACCTGTTTGTTTTTTTTTTTTTTTTGAAAACCGATCTCCCATTTTTCACGGGAACACACAACGCCGTCCCGTTTTGGGGTTTTGTTTTTCATTTGTGATTTTCTTTTCACGGCAATTATCTTGAGCGCCACATATTCGCGGATTTCCGATTATTATGTCTGGGTGATACCTTTGGCAACAGATGGAAGTCTGTTTCCCAGGGGGAAAGAAAAACAAAAAACTGAACAGGTGAGTTTATGATGACTGCAACGTATGACGGACGTTTCCAGGAGAGATGCGAGAGACTCTTCAAAAAAAAAGTCACATTTGTCCGTGGCCAGACAAAGTCGAAATGCCATTTCGGCGAGGTCAAAAGAGATTTTCGTGTCCCATTTGGCTCGTTGCAGGTGAACCGCGTGCGGACCAGAGACTTGGACTGCTGTCTCACCGTGCCCCTCATTATGGAGGCGGGAGCCAGTCTGGATCTGCTCATCGGCAGGAATCCCGCGGAAACGGGCCACGCCGAGGGTCCGCGCGCTGAGCGCGACCGCCCTTCCCTCTCGCTGCTCTGCTTTTCGCAGCGCCGCACCGACAGCGTTGCGCTGTGAGCGCACAGACACACGCCCAAGTAGGTCCCGCGGGTCACGTTGCAGCTGCCGGACGTTGGCAGCATCCCCGGCACGAGCGGTGTTAATCGCCATGTTCACATGACGTTTTCGGGCGCGTCCGCTCCTTCCCCAGCAGCACATTTGCAAGCGTCTGTAACGCACACGCAGCATCCGACGAGTTCTTGAGTTGACTTTGTCCCCGCGAGCGCGCACTTGACGGCTTCTGTGTTCACGCGTGCACAGGGTGGGAGCACATTTGGGCTCAGGGTTGCATTCAGGGGTTATTTTCTTGGCTCACTTGCCGTGTTTCCGTCGCCAAGGGCGGCGGTCCTTGGCGACGTCCTCCCTCCCCAAATAGAATTCTCACGGCCACCGGCCAAGCGTCGTAAAAGGTTACGTTACACGACATTATATATAAATATGTATTTGTTAATCTGATGAATGCTTGCGAAGACGTGAGCCTTTTCCCGCGGACGTCCTTGGGAGGGATTACCGCCAGCATTGCGTTCGGATTGTTTTGCGTTTTTCACTACGTTGCCAATATTGCCACGTGCACGTTTACACTTGATGGGAATTCACGGATTTGATTTCACTTATGGCTGTTTTCAGTTTTTTGTTTTGTTTGGTGGTGGTGGGGGGGGGTAGCGACCACCACCTTGGCCCCGTGTTGTTGGTACGACCTCAGCCAAGTGACTTATTAACTACGAGAAGCCCCGGTGTCATGTCTTGTTTACCTCCATGGGGTTGTTGTGAGCGTACTCCTCCGCTCGAACTCAAAGCATCGGCGTCCCGCGGCGGGCCTTCCGGTCTCATGCGAGCGCTAGCACGTCAACTCTTCTTCGTCAAATGAACAAATGTCGCCAGAGGTCTATTTTTAAAAGCTTCCGAGAGGAATCCGATCTTCTGATGCTCGCAGTCTCTCTTTTGCTGTAAAGTCACTGTTTTTAGTCCTCATACAAGCATGTCAAAATGATTGCCGTCAGTTGCAAGACTGAATGGGCTGTTTTATTTGCATAGTGTCTTTTTTTTTTTTAATAAAAATGTTAAAACCTGTGATGTTTGGTTCTGGTTCCATGTTGTTGGAAGGTGTGCTGCTCTTTGTGTCCTTTGGTGCAGAGATTTGAATGTTTACAGTTCCTAAAGATGTGTGTGTGTGAGAGTGTGTGAGAGTATCCAGTGGTTCTCCCCCACCCCTTTTTCTCCAGTACCAAATTCAAAACTGTTGAGGTCCCATGGTCAACATGAAAACAGACCCTGAGAAGGCCTTCGTCCATCCTTGCATCCATTTCCTTGGGGGGGGGGGGTGTCACGGGGTCTGGCGCGAGCCCATCCCGGCTGTCTTCAGGCAGCGGGAAGGGTAAAGGCCTTCGTGTTCATCCAAAACAAGGCAGTTGGGGGGAAAAAAATGGATACCTGGAAGCCGATGGTCATGTTATGCAGTTTTAACATTTAGATGACGCTTGGGTAATACAGGAAAACTTGACTGAATGAATAAGTGCAAATGTATCAAAATGTATTGCACAAAAGGCTCCAAGTGAAATTGAAAAAAATTGTCTGCGATTTTAGAAAAAAAAAGTTTCTTCAGGCTGTACCCGTTTCATATTCTGTGCTTCTTTCATGCGATGCAGGTATGATAAAGTGGGGGTGGGAGGGTGGTTTGGGGGTGTTGTGTGGCCCCAGGGAATATGTCAAGGCAGTGAGAGAGACTCAAATAAAAAATGGGCCAAATTATTTGTTGTATTTTCATCCAGAGTTCTTTTTTTTTTTTTGCATCCATGAGGAAGCAACGCGATGCAGATCCGATTGTGTCGTTGCGGCGCCGAAAGATTGCCGAGGGTAACGGGGAGATAATTTGAGGGGCAGCATCCAAGTTTGGCTGCTCTCCCGGATGCTTTGCCGCTTTGACCTGAAATAGACTCGGCGTGCGAGTTCACGAGGTTTCCCTCGGACTGGACGCTGCCCTCGTCAAACACGGATTGTTTACATCCAACTTGGCGTGATCAAAGATCAGTTGTCGCCGGCGGTGTTTGCGTCCGAGCGCGTGCGTGTTCTCCCGCCTCCCCTTCTTTTGTCAGCGAGGCAAGTTGCGCCCGATGGATGGCGTTCCATTGGTGTGCGGCGAACACTTTGTGGACTTTCAGGCCAAGTGTCAATGAGCCACGTCGGGAAGTGCGAAGGGCTGAATGAGTGGCAGGAAGCGCCGGGGAGGGGCCCCGCAAAGGCGAGATCGTACTTCAAATACTGTACGAGGGGAACCTGAAGCGGAGCCGTCGCGGGTCACCTCGTTTTGTCCAGAAGCATTGCAACAATGACAAGAATCGTTTTCAGCGTTGAACCTTTATCCGCGACCACCGCACCCTGTGTGGAAAACCTTCATGTTCAAGTGATGTCACAACGCGATGGTGTGACAGACTTGTTTGTAAACAACTCTCGTTTCCCCGCACAGTGTTCGACATTCCAAGCAAATGTTGAGGTGGGGTCGTAAAACGCTTCCGGATTACTTTGTGAAGGCGTCGGTCGAAAAGACGCATCGAGTCAAGCGTGTCCAAGAAACGCTTTATTCCAAGTGTCTGCGGAAACGATGCAATGTGCATCTGAATGGAGACAAACGTGAGATACAAACATACTTTGGTACATCGAGATTTTTTTTTGTGTGGATGAAGCTGCGGCGAATCTGCAGATGGGCGACTCCATCGGGAGCTGTTGGCTTTTTTTTTTTCCCGCTCGAGTATTGCAATTTCATTGTCATTCATTCAGAACATTGAACATTTCCAAGTTGCCGCTCCTACGCTGAGTATTGCGCCACGTAATTAAAACACATTTCAGAGTTATCGCTCAAGTAATCAATCAGTCATGGTGTTTGTATGATGTACAAAATTGTTACAAAAGGCATGTGTGATTGACAAACAATTGCAATTCTGCTATACGACTGGCTAAAGTTGACGTCACAAAAAACAAAACAAAACAACAACCTAAAAACAAGAAACCAGGACATCCGCTGTTGAAATGAGTGCAATCGAGCTTTTCGGGATGTTGTGGAAAAAAAAAAAGGGATGGTGCATTATTTTCGATTCCTACACGTTCTCTTATCGACTGGCATTTATTAACACTGATAAACTGCACAAGTGATATGGTAAAATAGTTCCTGCTAAAACGCGTTGCATGTTCTACAGCAACACCTTGCATCATTAAAAACAAACGCGACCGGAACGGTGAGACAGCAATAAAGTGCAGAGGTTTTACAAAAAAAAAAAAAAAAAAGCACTGGGACTGACCTTGGCAGTCACAAAAGCAGTAGACACGAAACGTTTTTTCCATCGCTGCGATTTTGATCCGATTTTTTTTTCTTTTGAACGTACTTCTCATTGGATTTGTCCAAGGCCTCCACTAAAAAACGCCGCGTCGTACATGGTCTGCGTTTGTCCGTCATATACGCTAAGCACCGCGAGCTCACCGGCAGACGAGATCACTTGCGATTTGGGTGAGCGTGACAACTGAGCTCAAGTACGAAAGCGGCGGGCGCCGTCGTCTGGCGCGTCGGCGCCACGCCCGCCCGCCCGCCCGCCCGACTTCACGATACATCCGGTCGGCCGAATTGAAGAGAAGTGAGAATTTCATTCCTGCTTCTTTATCGGCCGCAACAATTCCTCATCTCTCCGGAATCAACAAGAAGAAAGGTCGTAAACATGAAACAAGTTCTACGTACAAATCTAGCGTCAGTGCCGACTGCAAGCCGGAACAGTTGAAACATGAGCCACGTGGATATGGTACAAAAATCACATTGAGAGAGAGAAGATGGATCGATAGATAGATAGATAGATAGCTCGCTAATTCTCCTCATTGATATCAAAGCACAAAATCTGGAAGGTGAATTGCGCCGGTGGACGCAAAGCGACCAACGTCAGCAAATCGGAGAAGAACACGCAAAGCGCACGGATGGTCTTCCTCTCACAGAGAGCGCTCACATGGTGGTTTCGACAATGGTGTGGGTGGCCTTGACCGAGCCGTTGTTCCCGTTGGGGTCCAGGGGCTGCGTCAGCTCGCTGCCTTTCGCCGCCGCCGCCGCGTACTCTTTGGGCCGGGAGCTCACGCCCGACTTCGCCGGGGCCGCCACCGCTTTGATCCGCTGCGCCAAAACAGGAGAAGCCAATCCGTGACCGCGCCGGCAAAAATCCATCACGGGGCGCATATAACGACCGGGGGGGGGTTAGGGTTAGGGCCTCCGCCCATTTGGCAGCAGTCGGTTACAAAAAACAAACCCACAAAAACCAAAAAACAAAGAGCGTCCGCCGGGGTTCATACGGACGAAGATAAAAGGCCACTCCTCAATCGCATCAAAATGTATTTTTGATGCTTTGTGAAAACCCAAATGACATTGTGACAGGGTGGTTGATGGAGGTCCCACCTTGGAGATGCGCTCACCTCAATGAGGGGTCCCTCGGATTGCAAGATCTTGATGACCATCACCATGGGGATGCAGATCATGGAGGCCAAGGCCAAGCACCAGCCCAGGCCGATGGCCCAGTCGGGGTATTCGTACACTTTGTTGTAGGTCAAAGGCTTGTACTTGACCAGCGAGAAGACAAAACAGCCCTGACACACACGCACACACACACACACACACACACACACCATCGGGTTTGACTTCAAGTAGGCCGTCAAGATGGGCCACGTTTGGGCGACGGTCTCACCATGCAGAGGACCGGCGTGATGATGGTCCAGCTCCATTTCATCCACGGGTTCGGTCTGTAGCCAATCATATCCTCAACTCCATCGTAGAAATTATCAACTCCTGCCAAAGAGCGAGGAGAAAAGAGCACTCTGCTTATTGGCGGGCGACCTCCCACGTTTGGGTTCACCTGCAAATTGTTGACGGCTTTACAAGCGCTTATCGGGCCGGGCAAAGCGCATCGTATCTTGGAACAATCATATCGCTTGACGTTTACCCGGGATGGCCCCGGCGCAACTAGTTCACTGGGTCATAAGGTCGTTTCTCTTCAACACCAGCTCATTTAAAAAAAAAACACGCACACACACACACACACACACACACACACACACACACACACACACACACACACACACACACGTTTATTTTATCAAAGCTCTAAAAAAAAAAAAAAACTCTTGACGGCTTATGAATGACGTCATTTTTGGACGGCAGCTGGTTACACATTTCCACCGGGAAGATCCGGAGGCGTGCCAGCTTCCAGGTTCGGTTTGTTCACAAGCTTCGAGTACGCTAGCTTGGAAAAAAAAAAACGGAGCCTTTAAAATGGTGTGAAGGGGCAGTTTTGTAATATTAAGCAAGATGGAGACGTAGTTGGCAGCCGTCTGCGAGAGCTTTTTAAAAACTCCGATTTTTGGGGTGTTTTTGTCATACGGTGTTGGTTGGTTGTTGACCCGTCGTGGACTTTTTCCGGCGTTTTAGGAACGTGTGCGCCGTTTGGGCAGCACGCGTGAACCGGCACGGATTTTGATGGTGAGGAATGTCAGCGCATGTGATTTTGGGGTGCCCGTAACCGGCGGCATTTTCCACGTTCCCCGTTTTGTCTAGCGGAGATGTTGGCGCTGTTGTTAATAAGATAAGATATCCTTTATTTGTCCCACAATGGGGAAATTTACAGTCCACAGCAGCAAGATAATGGGTAGAAAGAAGAAAAGAAAAACAAACACCGTTCAATTAAGTGCAATATAAATACAGATATGGATAAGGTCGTAGTGCTATTTATGGCGGGTGGAAAAGGGCTATTGCCCCCCA